AATATACTCTATTTTCAAATTAATCTTGTTAAAATTGATGATAAATCTTATCTCTTTTTAAAAAAAAAATATTATCAATATTTATTCAAAGAGTTAAAAAAAAAAAAATTAGTCCATAATCAAAACTAACCTAAAATAATAACTAAGGATTCAATTTAATATTTCATGAAATTTGATGTAATTTAATTATTTTTGCATTTTAACACTTTATGTTTTTTATTAACTCGCTTTTTTAAGTCTTGTAAGGAGTTAGACTTTTCATATATAATTATGGATAAAAGTAAAAGATTTATATGTGTGTATACACACACATGTATTAGGATATTTTCGAACTAATTTTTGCTTCAACCGAGACTAATTTTTTTTTTTTTTGGGTTAAGTTATTGTCAAAACACGTTTAACTTTTAGTCGACTACTAAGTTGTCTTTTTGACCAAATTAACTCAAATTTGATACCATTAAAAAATAATTATGACTAATTATTCATAAACAGTGAGAATCGAACCTTATTTTGAACAAATCAAGGCAATTCATTTATAGCCAGATCGCATTGAAAGAATTAATTATACCTTAATCCTTATAATTTATGGAAACTAATTAATCAGTTTTTGTGGCGTCATGAATAGGTTAATAGTTCATCTATTAACACTGGTCAACTTTGATTTAGAATTTTTAAAAATACCCTTTTTCCTAATCAAATTCTCTTATATACCTATTTTTGTTTTCTTTGTTCTATTTTTTTTTATTTAAAAAAATAGAACTCAAAATTGACAAAAGTACTATGTAAAAAATAGACCGAGAAACACAAGAATTAAATACATAATTTCTACAACCACATCATGTAATTTAATTAATTTAAAAAATAAAAAATGACTGAATAATTTTTCGTATAAAGGGGTTTCAAAATAAATAAATGAGAAAACCATAAAAAAGAATAACAAAAGTTTTCGAAGTGAATTAGGGATCGAATGAATATTTGCACAAAAAATGAGCAAGTACGCACATGCTTCAAATTAAGCAGGTGCACACCAAGTTTTTCTCTGAATAAATATGTTTACTCCTCTCTTTTGCGATTCAGGTATTTTTCTATTGTTTTTTCCAAAATATTTTCACACTCTTAACTCACTTTGAAATAACATCATTTCTAGTTTTTTTTTTTTTATCTCTCTCTCGTGTTGTGACTTGCAGAAGTCATCAAGGATCAACTTTCAATCACAAAGACTTGTTTGTGAGCCTTAGATCCAAGCAACATCTATCATGGAAAGTGATGGGAGAGCGTGGTTTGGAAGGATACATGCAGAGTTTGTTAAAATGTCACAATCCTATTAGCTGTGACATTTTATTTTACAGCCAATTTTCAAAATGCTAAATATCACAATTAACACATTCTAATCACTTCATTCATTAATTTTTTTAACTCGTTTGTCAATTTCATAATAAAATTAGTATACCTAGTGCACTACCTGTCTAAGTATCTTCTGTCAAGAATTATCTGCATTTTCTCTCTTAAGCTCCCTTTCTTATTCTTTTTCTTACTTGGAAAATATCATTCGGATACGATATATCATCACCTTCTATCCTGTAAATTTCTCACCTCAACAAAGACTAAAGATAAACTATAAAAAAAAAAAAAAGGAAAAAGGATCTATTGTGATCTAAATTTGGAGTTGAGCCAAGAGAAAGTAAATTTAAAAAATAAAATCAAAATTTTAGAGGCCATTGGATAACATTTTTTGTTTTGGTTTTTAGTTAAAAAAACAAAAACAAAATTCGTTTTAAGTTTATTATTTTTGAAAACTATTTATTTTCTTAACAAATATACACGAAGAAAAATTATGATGCAGACTTAATTTGAGAAATATAATAATATAACATTAAGTAAAAAAAATAGTAATAGTACTTAATTTAATCATGATGTTAAAATCACGACATCATGATAACAACATACTTAACAGTGGCAATAGTGAGAACAACATGGTGATGATTGTTATGGAGCTAAAAATGATGATAAAGATTATAACAACACTAAATTTATAGCAAATGTTACTTTATTAGTAAAAAATAGTGGTTGCATGTGATGATAACGATATGACAAAAGTGGTTCAAATAATATGACAGTGGCAAAAATAATCATATTATATTTGTAAATGTTATAAAGATAATGATAGTACTTAATTTGGTGAAATTAATTATAAAAGAGGTGATGTTAAAAGAGATGGTGGTGGTGAATAAGTGAAATATTAACCAAAATAGGATTGAGTCAATGGTGGTTAAGAAATCTAACGAATATCGTGGTTATATTAATTATGATGGTGGTAGTCACCATGATGATAACAGCGAGATGCTGCTGTTAGTTGTTGCAGTGGTGATAATGTTACTAATATAATATTTTATAAATAAAAAAATTAAAATTAAAAACTGAAAATCACATATTTGTTATTTAAAAAAATGTTTTAATTTTTAAAACTGTTCATAAAAAAATAAACACCACGGTGCAGACATATATATACACTAACTCTCACTAGATTAATGGAGTAGGTTTTGGATTATTTTAAATTTTGTTTTTGAATTTTTTATGAAGTTTTGTTTTACATTGAAAAAAAGGATTTTTTTTTTTTAATAAACGTGATTTTATGTTTTTTTTAATATATATATATTCTCTCACTAAATTAATGAGATTTTAATTGGATTTGTAATTGATTTCACTTAAATTTTTAAGAACTATTATTTTGTGATGACAAAGAAAACAACATAGTGAAATGTACGGAGCGAGGTTTTGGATTATTTTAAGTTTTGTTTTTGGATTTTTTATAAAGTTTTGTTTTACATTAAAAAAAAAGAATTTTTTTTATAAACGTGGTTTTGTATTCTCTCACTAGATTAATGAGATTTTAATTGGATTTGTAATTGATTTCACTGAAATTTCTGAGACCTGTTATTTTGTGATGACAAGGAAAACAACAAAGGGAAAGGTACGGAGTAGCTTTTGGATTATTTTAAGTTTTGTTTTTGGATTTTTTATGAATTTTTGTTTTACATTGAAAAAAAAAGGATTTTTTTTATAAACGTGGTTTTATATTCTCTCACTAGATTAATGAGATTTTAATTGGATTTGTAATTGATTTCACTCAAATGTTTAAGAACTATTATTTTGTGATGACAAAGAAAACAACATAGGAAAAGGTACGGAGTAGGTTTTGGATTATTTTAAGTTTTGTTTTACATTGAAAAAAAAGAATTTTTTTTATAAACGTGGTTTTATATTCTCTCACTAGATTAATGAGATTTTAATTGGATTTGTAATTGATTTCACTGAAATTTTTGATACCTATTATTTTGTGATGACAAGGAAAACAACAAAGGGAAAGGTACGGAGTAGCTTTTGGATTATTTTAAGTTTTTTTTTTGGATTTTTTATGAAGTTTTGTTTTACATTGAAAAAAAAGGATTTTTTTTTACAAACGTGGTTTTATATTCTCTCACTAGATTAATGAGATTTTAATTGGATTTGTAATTGATTTCACTGAATTTTTTAAGAACTATTATTTTGTGATGACAAAGAAAACAACATAGGGAAAGGTACGGAGTAGGTTTCGGATTATTTTAAGTTTTGTTTTACATTGAAAAAAAAGAATTTTTTTTATAAACGTGGTTTTATATTCTCTCGCTAAATTAATGAGATTTTAATTGGATTTGTAATTGATTTCAGTGAAATTTTTGAGACCTGTTATTTTGTGATGACAAGGAAAACAACAAAGGGAAAGGTACGGAGTAGCTTTTGGATTATTTTAAGTTTTGTTTTTGGATTTTTTATGAAGTTTTGTTTTACATTGAAAAAAAAAAGGATTTTTTTATAAACTGATTTTATATTCTCTCACTAGATTAATGAGATTTTAATTGGATTTGTAATTGATTTCACTGAAATTTTTAAGAACTATTATTTTGTGATGACAAAGAAAACAACATAGGGAAAGGTACGGAGCAGGTTTTGGATTATTTTAAGTTTTGTTTTTGGATTTTTTATGAAGTTTTGTTTTACATTGAAAAAAAAGAATTTTTTTTATAAACGTGGTTTTATATTCTCTCGCTAGATTAATGAGATTTTAATTGGATTTGTAATTGATTTCACTGAAATTTTTGAGACCTATTATTTTGTGATGACAAGAAAAACAACAAAATGAAAGATACGGAGTAGCTTTTGGATTTTTTATAAAGTTTTGTTTTACATTGAAAAAAAAAGCATTTTTTTTATAAACGTGGTTTTATATTCTCTCACTAGATTAATGAGATTTTAATTGGATTTGTAATTGATTTCACTGAAATTTGTAAGAACTATTATTTTATGATGACAAGGAAAACAATAGAGGGAAAGGTACGGAGTAGGTTTTTTATTATTTTCAGTTTTGATTTTGAATTTTTTATGATGTTTTGTTGTCCGTTGAAAAAAAAGGATTTTTTTTATAACCGTGGTTTTATGTTTTTTTTTAATATATATGAAAGCCAATGGGGAAATTACCCTTGCCACTAACGAAAAAACCTTTTATTTGTTAGGCAAAACTCTTTCTTCTTTTTTGTTAATCGTCCATTTTTTATTTCATTAGAAAATAAAAAACGAGAAAAGAAAAAATGAAGATGAAAAGCCATTTTCTATAACTAAAATTTTCTGAAATTTGATATTTTTGTAAACCTAAGGTAGGGTTTTTCTTTGGAATCTCATACCCGAGCTCCTTGAAATCCTACATTACTCCATATTATACTTGCTAAACAACGCCTAGAAAGCAAGACCAGACAGAAAAAGAACCACCTCAAAGAGAAATAAAAGAAGCGAGTTAAAGAGAGTGAATCTTATATGAGTCGAGGACATCCGAAATCAGTATTTACAACAAAAATCCCTCAGTTTCCAAACACAAGCATTGTTAAAAAATAAAAAAACACAACCAGTTCCAATTCCGAATTCTCAATACAGTGAAGTCTGAACTCTGAAGCGCGGCATCAGCAACAATGGAGGAGGAGAAACGCTGCAAGTTTTGGCTTCCCAAAAAGAACCGATTTTGTGCAAATTCCCCTCTCAACGATTCCCAGTAAGCTTACTCTCCTCTTTCTATCTCTCTGTTTTTTTTTTCCTTTGTCCTTTGTCTAATTTGTTATGGGTTGTATTCATTCAACTGTTTTTAAGGTTCTGCGGCAACCATACAGCGAGGTCCATTGAACAGTGGATCCCATGCCCCATCGACCCTTCTCAGTAATTTCCCATCTTTGCACTATCAAATTTTCATTATATAATCTTTTTAAGTATTTATGTTTTTTATTGTTTTGATAGTTCTGTTCTAAACCAAAATCTTGACGGCCATGTTAAGAGATGCCCTTTATTAAAACAAGCTCACTCCTTGTCTCTTCAACCATTTTATCAAAAGGGCATCAATGCTGGCAAAGAAGAAGAAGATAGTGTTAGCTCTGAGATGAAAAGGAGTGCTGTTTATAGCATGACTGTGATTGAATTTTGTGAGCTTATTAACAAGATTGAGTCTCTTCATGCTTCGATATGCAAGGATATTTGGGAATCATATAAAGTGCCAGAAGCTTGTAATAGGTGGATTAAGAGAGAAGTAGACAGGTAAACGAGTACTTGTTAAGATGAAGTTTGCTGTTTAATTTAACGGGAATTAGTTGGTTTTTGTAAAATGAGTTGCCTGTTAAGCAGGAAATTACCGTTTCAAGAGAAACATGTAGCGCAACAAGCATCTATTCTTGGGAATTTGGAGGACTTTGGAGTGATAAAGAGTTCAGTAGGAAGTAAAGGCACCGATAGTCAGGGATTTTATGGTGATAATAGCAATTGTGTCCATGCAGTCGTTGAATTTGGAGCAGGGAGAGGGTACTTGACACAGATGCTGGCAGACTGTTATGGAATTGACAGGGTCTTTCTGGTTGAGCGCAAGGCATACAAACTTAAGGTTAGTTGTGTTGAACTCATCATTGCATTGTTTATGTGAAGGAATATTTGTTGCAATCAGAATGAAATTAAAGTTGGAGTTGTTATGAGCTCTATTCACCTTGATTAATCTGTAATTTATGTATTGTTTTGTTTGCGTTTATGCTATTTCTACTTCTAGGCTGATCGGTCTTTGCGACAGAAGGAAAGCATGATATTAGAGCGTTTGAGGATTGATAGTAAGGTTTTTCAAAATCCTGTTCTTCGAAATAGTGTTTTTATTTCCATATTTTTATCTCAATTCTCTCCCTCTTCCTCTCCCTTTTTTCTTTTTAACGTAACTGTGGAGTTGGTGGTAAGCATACCCTCTAATACTCTGTATTACTGGAGCATTCAGCGAACCTAGTATTTGGTACAATGTCCATGCCTTATTTGTTTTTTTTCCCTCCCTCAGTCCTCCAAAGTTAAGGTTAGGTGCTGGGAGCTGTCTCGATTTTGGAGCTCTCTTGAGTGCTTTGTTTTTCCTTTAGTTTCCCTTCATAGTGTGCTTATAAGTGGTGGTATTATGGGGCATAACCTAACAAACTATTGTTGCCTTTTATTGCCCCCTTTCTGTACTCTTTCAAGCTGCAGTTAAACAAGGTCTTACTGTTTCAGGCATTCTTTTATTCTACATATTATATTAAGTCACAACTTCAACCGTTCTGTGCCACAGCAATAATTTTTCTAGAGCCTTATAGTTAATTATTTCTCTCAACTAAGCTCATAAAAAGCTTTATCTCAACTTCAAATACAGGGGTCAGCTTAATAGATTTTACCATGCATTTCCTCTTAATTTTGGGTGATACCAATAGCAGTCTTGAGTAGTAACAACAGAATGTTTATGTTCATACAAAATGTCTCTCTTTGTTTGCCTTATACTTTTCAGTCTGATGGCATAATTGTCCCTTAGAAGGTAACTGTGAAAATTTGATATTAGCACTATCTTCCTTCTGGTCTCTCTGCTGGGGGAAAGCTCTGCCACCTTTTGAGTTCTGACATTGATTCAACAATCTTCTCAGAAGATGATGATACTGATGATACGAAAAAAGGAATGGAATGCCAATCCTTGGACTTTATTTGTAAAATCTCTATTCCTTGGCAATCAAAGCCCAAAGATCTCTGAACTAACCCATGTTTGACCAGCCTTGTAGAAAGAGGACCTGCATATTTTTTCTCTCTCCCCCATTTTTATCTGTGTAATTATTTCCTATTTCCGATGAAATTTTGGAAGATTGACTTGCCGTTATTCTGTACGAAGGAGTCCTTCCTCTAATTTACCAATATAAGAGATGATACTGACTTTTTGTATTTGAAAAGGGCTTTAGGAGCTATTTTTGAAGTAGACAGCGGTTGATAGAGTAATCCTTGATCATAATTTCCAGTATTAGCAGTGCATCCAATATAAAACTTATACCAAATTCTACCTTTTCAGTTGAGGACTTGAACTTGAAAGCTGTTAAGTCTTTAAGGGGAGTCCCTTATTTGGCTATTGGTAAACATCTCTGTGGGCCTGCAACTGGTGAGGATTATGTTATAAAATTGAACATTACATTGGACTCTAAAGTAATTTTTTGCATTTTTTATCATTCTCTCATTCAATCAATCTTCCTCTGTCTTGCTGTGTTAATATTTGTGCTGCAGATTTGACACTGAGATGTTGCCTGTCTGAGCAATGGAGTCAAGATAGTATGCAAGATTGCAGGAGCAATGATAACCTTAAAGGCCTTGCTATAGCAACATGCTGCCATCATCTTTGTCAGTGGAAACATTACACAAGTAACCAACATACTCTACCCTGCGTGTTCTTATATGCCATACAAGCACACATGCATTTTTCTATTTATGAGCTGTCAGTGTAACTTTTGCCAACTTGCAGACAGAAAGTTCATGTCCAATTTGGGGATCACCAAGGAACAATTTCACGCAATGACATGGTTTACCAGCTGGGCAGTAGATGCTGATCATAGTTCAGATCTTTCTGATATTACTGATTGCAGATTGCTTTCACAATCCACGTAATCTCTTTGAACATTTTGTTTATGTTGAATTTCTCTCTTTTTTTTCCCAGTCTTGACACGTGAATTAGGTGCAATTATGCTCGTGATATCCATATTCTCTTCCCTTAAATGTTTCTTTCCTCCCTCTCTTCTGTATACATATTTCAGTAATTTGGATCTTAATATTTGTATGTTATCGCAGTGAGGAGAAACAATGTGGTGGGGATATAAATGGAGTTGAAGATGTTGTGAGGAATATGAAAGCTGTTGAAAGGGCCGTGTTGGGTTTTAAGTGTAAGCAGATCATCGACGTAGGAAGGGTGATGTGGGCAAAAGAACATGGATTAGACACAGAGTTTGTGAAGTATGTCCCCTCAAGCATCTCTCCAGAAAACCATTTATTACTTGCTAGACATACTAAGTGTGTGTAAGATACATGATCATTTACTTCTGATTTTTGCTGTAACGTTAACACTTCTTGCCTGCAATATGTATGTTTCTCTATTTCTATCTAGTTGGATGTTCAAAAGAATGTTTACAGATTTTAACTGGTGGGATCAGAAGTTTATTACCTAGCTTTTATCAGCATCCTTGGTTCAAAGGGGCAGATAGCATGTGCCCATGTTATCTTCAGACTGAATCCATATATGGTTGAGGATTGGAATATCTCCTGCAATTGGGTTGCAGACTGCAAATTTGGATTCATTCAAGGGGGATCTCTTCTTTCATTTCCATCTCAGCCTTCTCTTGCTCTTCCAATTTTCTTGTCCGATACGCACAGTATATTTGGAGGCAGACCACTTCTCTTCCAATAAGGTTATTTAGATGTGCTTTAGTTTCTTCCATTTGTCTTGATTGATATTTGATTGGATGCACTTGGATACTGTCATTGTTGTTTCATAATATTTCATATACAATTTGCAAAACACAGGCAAATGTCTGTTTTTGACTTGGCAAATGCGGTAATACATTATGAACCCGTGAGGCTCCACATCATTTGCTTGACCGGGGACCAATTTGCAGAGCATCGCACTATGGAGAGTGAAAAACACACCCTATCGGTAGCATGCTAAAAAGCTGGAGAATGCGACTGATATAATTAGTGCAGAATATTTTCAGATTATGTTCCCAAATTATCTGTGTTGCTTTCAAGCAAGTCTAGGAAAATAAAAGGAATAAACAACAAAAGAGAAGCATAGAATTCCCATCATCTGAAAATAAAAGTAGGGGAAGAATTTCCCTGTATGTCTTGGTTTATATCACTTCGTTGGAAAGTCGATCTATTTTCTAAATGCAAACGATAGGGAAACAAAATGTTGTATCATGTTCACATAAAGTGGAGATGCGGGGGATCGAACCCCGTGCCTCTCGCATGCAAAGCGAGCGCTCTACCATTTGAGCTACATCCCCGTTTGATGTTGCTTTCAGTAGATAAATATAATTATACAATACCCAAGCTGAGCAAGCAGATAAACATGTAGTAGTATAAATACTTATTGAAAAAGGAGACCTTATAGCGTTTTCTTCAAATAGACATAATCCTGACAGTGTTGATGCATTTAGGTTTAAGCATTCATCTATGAAACCGGACGATTCTGACTTAAAGAGAGTGTGCGTAGTGGGATCAGAAAGATCCAGTGTTGTAGATAGGGAGAGGATTAACAACTTGTGTTTTAGTTGGGATGGGGAATGGCTTGTTCACAGTAAAATAATACTATTTTTACATAATTATTTTAAAGAATTTATTTATCGAAAATATATTAATAATTCTATTTTTACATAATTACTTTAAAAAGATTATTTATCGAAAAAACTATTAACAAACATTAACCATTGGATGAATATCCAAGACATTAAATAAATAAAATTTCTTAACAATTCTCAATAGTTGATATATATATAGGTGAATTCTATCATAATCATTCAAGAATGACATTATTTAATTTTAATTTAGGGGACGGCAGAGCCGGTGTCGTGGCCAAATCAGTATCAACCTTACGGAGATCTGCCTGGGGTGAGGTTAGATGGAAGTGGATGTGTGAAAATGGTACGCCATCGTGGCACTCAGTGATTCAGGGACAGAGCTGAGCGGTCAATTTGATGAATTACTGGATTTCTTGATATCTAGAACTTTAAATTTACATGGGCGTGTTGCTTTTTCTTTTTTTGATTTGTATTGGATGGAATAAACTCTCTGTTGTTATTGAGACAGATTTAGTATAATTCTCGTGCAATGACATGAAAAGATCGTTGCTTTTGTATCATTAGATTAACGACGATCCTTGTTTGTCTTACTACGTCTTCCTTCATATCCCAAGCGCCATGGTACGGAGGGGAGTATAAGAATGCCGTTGCAGTCAAAGGTGGGATTGGAATTAGAAACAGATATGTTAACAACTCGGTCAAACATTAGACTGGGAAATGCACGTCCACCAATAGTTCATCATAGAAACCCATATGATAATGGACAACCCCATCAACCAAAGAGACAATTCCACAAACACCATTTTACTTATTATTCATCTGTTCTGGAAGATGAATCACGCAGCAATAATTAATTATATCTGCTTTCTTCATTCGTGATGTCTATGAACACTTTTGACACGAAAAATATAGACATGTGAGAATGGACAACCCCATCTCAATTACTTAAGTAACAAAAGCTGACATGGATAGAATTCATCACCTAAAATGGTGAAACCAAACTCAAAAAACGCATCACGTTGCAAAAAACACAGCAAACCGAGTTTGCTGGAATCTATTCCATCTCTAATGTGCTTTTGTTTAATATATGTCCCGCTTCTTTACCATGATGAAATACTATTCATGGAAAGAGTTTTTGTCCCCCACCTTTTCGCCAGACACCACGCACAGGTAACCCGCCTACTGAATTATCGTTATCATCCATCCTGTTCTCCACTGTATTGCGAGGATCAGGATCGGAGTTTTGGAGATCCAAAAGGGCCGCCATTGAGCCATCACCTAGCCTCACTCTATGAAATTTGGAGGTTTTCTTCCGCTGCTTATCATTACCCCCATCTTTTAAATTTTTACTAGATACAGAGGGGTCATTTGAGATCCTTGGTTCCATTTGCCGCTCATCAAGCATGACATTTGACTTGCCTTTGGCTATCCGATACCCATCTTTCGATAGCAGCTCCCCGGCTTGCCCCTCTTCTTCCAAGGGCTTGTAATTTGACTGCAGAGCCCGAACAGAGTTAATAAAGCTATCTGCCAATCTATCCTTTGAACTGCTATCTTCAACAGCTATTCCCTTGCTTTTCTTAGAACCATCAGTGCCTTTTAAATGGGCACTACCACGGCCCCAACCATTCTCTTTCTGCCCACTGCTTCTCAAACTAGCATTGTAGGTGTCAACAAGCTCTTTCTGCTTCTGAGCATCAGGACAAAGCCTAGCTAACTCGAGAATGAGATGTGATAGGCCAAATTGCTGCACATAATCCAGGTACTCTCTCGTGTCAATTGAACCCTGACGATACTGTCCAGATATGTCTTTAAAAAGAGCATATCTATCCTCATCATTTTCAAGAGCAGCACGTATCTTTTCCACCAATGACTTGTTTGCAGTTTGAACATCTTCCACATTCAGCACACCCTGGCTACTGGAGGGCATCTTGCGTGTCGGTGCTGCAGAAACTGGCGGAAAATCTGAAATAAAGGGTTTCATGGATTCAATCTCGGCAAGATTTGGGGCTGATGAAGAGTGGCTTATCCAACTTGTGCTGCCTGAGCTCCCAGATGAACCAGCTGGTAGATGACTACGAACTGCTATTGGTCGAGCCTGAGGCTGAGTAGAACTTGCATAACTAGAGATACCAGGTCCACTGGCAGAACTCCTTGAACTCAAAGGCGATGTATTTACTGTAGGCCTATATAGTGCTGGACTACTAGATACATGCCCACGGCTTGCTGCTGGCCACAGCTGAGGTGAATTGATTACAGTTGCATTTCTGTTGTTTTGGCGCCGGAGATGAGCTGCCATTGTATTATTAGGCAAACCTTCTGATTCATCTTTGGCCTTTTGTTGACCACTGCTGGGAGTCGTAAAGAGAGGAGGAAAGGAAGATTCTTGCAAAGGTGCGTTCCTAGAAGAGTGCCCCAAGGCTTGAAGATATCTGGAAGTTGTTTCAGGATCTGTGGCAGTTAATGATTCAAATGGCTGAACTATTGGATCAATATCATTTGAATCTACATGATCAGAGATCACTTGTGCACTGGACGATCGATCGCGAGATGTGCTTTCTGAATGTGCTGTCTCCAGGCTAGCTTGAATGGCTATGGAGAGTTGGTTATCAGATTGATCACGACGAAATGTCCGTCCCCTTCCACGACGATTATCTTGTTCATTACTTCGACGATATCGAAAGCTAGTTGGAATCTGATTCATAGAAATCAGCAAATGAACAATGAGACAAACATACAGAGACATCCAAAATAGCTACAAAAAGTGCACATAAATGAGTGAACCAAAAAGGAAGTAACGTGGTGGTCAGATATTATCAAGAAAGAACCACGTCCTTTAAGGAGGGGTTCCATAAGTAGAAAATAATATGAACCTGGAGAGCAGCATTTCTCTGAGAACGAGACATACGTCCAGCATGCTCAATTGTATTGTGTCTCTGAAATATAAGAACAAAATTAAATGACTTGAACTGGTCCAGTAAGCAGTAAGAGAGAAATCTAAATCGATAATGATCCCACAACCCCAACCCTGCCCCTGCATGCACACAAACAAAGAAACTATAGCTTGAACAGGATTCATAAAGAAACTTCGTAAAGACACCAAGTCGATGGAGCTTTCTCAGTCACCTTCAACTCCGCTTCGGTTTGAAAGACAATAAACTTTTTGGAAAGACATTCCTCATCGTCACATAGAAAATGGTCTCGACGGAAGTGAATCTGTGACAGATAACTTTCACTTGTTTAGAAGAATATTCTTAGTTAAAGAACACTTATTAAAAATAAGTGTCAGCATCATAATCTCAAACATTAACATATAAAAACAATGTAGAAGACCAATCTGACCTCTAGGTCATCATAATTCTTGTAATATTCATATTGTCCTGGATGCTGCCTGCATTTAACATAACAGAAAGTTATTTGAGACCATCCAAAAATGTGTGTACCTTATGATATCATGTGTACAACTATAGCATGTATTACCTTTGGCATAGATGACAGGTATAGTGTTCAGTTGACATATGTGTGTACAACTCATTATCTCCATAGAATGGTTTTTTACAGAATTCACACATGGGATGTCCCATGAAGCCACCTCTTTCACTCTCACTACCATCAACCTCAGAATCACCAGTGTTTATATGTTGATTTAATTGTGCTCTAGTGTATAGCTTTTGCTCGCAAATAAATACCTGTCAAATTCAAAAGAATCCGAAAGTTGTTACAGAACTTAAAAAAAAAAAGAAAAAAAAAGAGTAAATTCTGAGGTTTGACAATATGACAATAGTAAACCATCCAGAATAAAGTATTTAGAGCCACATGTAAATCACTTTGACAGTTACATAAAATAAGATGCCCAAAAAAAAGAGAGTGATAACATTATGAAAAAAAAAATGTGCACAAATTCTAAACAATCTCAACTTGATTATACCTAAAAATGACTTTCAATGTCCAACAATTCAAACAAGAAAACATATGTCGTACAGGATAATAAGCATGAGGATTTTACCTTTCGTCCTTCCAAGCATAGACTACACATATGCAATTTATGTTGATGAAATAAATGACCCTTCAGCTGATTAATATTCCTAAACTTCCCTCGACGCTTGGATCCATCATTTGATTCCTCCCTGTCACATACACTACATGACAGTTTGCACATGGCCTTTATCATTTTGTAATGGTCAACATCATCAAAAAATGCCTGTGTGTCCTCATGGTACCAATAAGATCCTATTCGACCCTCCTTTGGTTCAGATGGCAAGACCGAGAAATCATTAATCATCCTTGTATAATCTCCTAAAGCCTGCAAGAACGGCAGAATAGAGCGTTCTGTGTCATCAATCCATGTGCAGACAGTAGAAATCACAAATATGAACAAAAGCAGTGGGCAAATGAAAAAGCTAAGTAGACAACTACAAGAAAATATTACTTCCAAAAATTCACCTTAAATGTATTAGATTTGCAAATACAATTAAAAAAAAACTTCAAAAAGAAACTGAAAAACAAATATCAATCACATTAAACCCAAAATACAACAAGAGCAATCTTAACCATATATTATAGTCTGAAAGCAACTCCATCTAACATATTCTGAATGATGGGGCATTTGTCTTATAAATTGGAGCTGCGTTTTATCTGACATTGAATTCGACTATGATTCCGCTGACTCTACATTCCTTCAGCGACGAGCCCTTTTTAAAAACTAAATGTATGTGCAAAATGCTTGTTTTGTACAAAATATCCAGTAAAAGCTACCCTATAAGGTCCAGTTCTCCAGCAGTAGCCTTTTACTTTCAAGGTGAATAGATGTTCTAGCTTCAATACATCAATCCGCATTTTCTTTTGTCACTGTTCTTAACAGATAGCATTCACCACCACATAGCAAAAATGCTTCAAACAGTCCTGAAACTAGTGGATTTGGTTATAAATTCTTCTTTGGTGAAAGAAAATGTTAAAAAAATAGCGGCTTCACTAGTACTACTTCCTAAGAGAACCTATCAAAAACAAAGAAGATTCACGTAGCTTGGTAAAGATTCAAAACCAGCAATCAGTCAGGTCTCTATTTTAACCAAAAGTAGCAAAATTAGTCCTTAAGGCAACAGATTATGTACTTGCTTGTTCATAGCTGAAGAAAATAGCATAACCTAACTAACAAATATGATTAATTGATTAGCAATTAACCGCACCCATTATCAAAATCAAACGAATAAGCAATCAAAACCAAGATAATAAAAAAATTAAAACAATTGGAATTTGAAAAGGCAGGCCTAACCTTGGTGATAAAAACGACAGATAACTCGGTCTTGCAGATACAGCAGCGGCGATCGTCGCAGATGAAACGGAGCCGAGCCACGCAAGTGGAGCAAACTTCACGATGGCCACACGCGCCGTAGGCAACCCATTCAAGAACCTCCGCACACACTGCACAACTATCATCCATCTCTCTCTCTCTTTCAAAATGCACAACAACCAAAAGATGAATAAAAAAAGAAAAGATAAATCTAATAGCGGGAGAGAAACAGAAATTGGAGATTTGTTAGCGAGTAGAGATCTAGGGTTGAGGGTCGTTAAAGACTAGGTGCCAATTTTTTCCTTTTTGTGTCCTTGGAAGAACCGGTTTGACTTGATGATGGGGGATTTTTGCGAACTCTATGAAATTCAGGGCACCGCACGAGTCCTGATTCAATAAGGGTAACCTTGTAAATATAAGCTGTTGCTTTTCTTGGCTTATGAGAGCATGGACTCCTGAAAAGATGTGGACTACTAAAGGGAAGGCAAAGCCTATTTCCCAAGCATTTGAATTGGATTGGGCATTCGTCCAGGGGCCCAGCAGCAACCTTTGGTACCTGATTCTTTCTACTTTCCTTTTCCCTCCTTAAAATAAATAAATAAATGGTGTTTCTCTAGATTTTTAAAGAGTAAGACGTGCGATGCACGGGTACGGTCAAAACAGAAATTTTATAATATACAAAAAGAGTAACTAATGGTGTATATACATGGTAGTTATTTTTTGGATTCACTTTGAAAAGAGAGATAAACACATAAAAAGAAATAATGAAAATAAAAAAATTTGAACGGACGTAGAAATCTTCTTATCACTTTTGATGGGTATAGATATAATTTCTTCTTTTTTTATGTGTCTATCTCTTTTCTCAAAGTGAATTCAAAGAGTAACTATTATATATATCAATAATTATTCATTGTGTATTATAAAATTTTTCCGGTCAAAACATAAACGCTTCATCAATAAATTAATACAGTGGAAACAGTTCTTTTAAATAAAATTCAAGGTAAAAAAATTTGTTTTTTTTTTTTTTTAAGTGACGCTAGATTTAGATTTAATTTTTTTAAGGTAAAAGTGCCGAGTCTTCTATACCATTAGTCAAAGGATAAATAGTTTCCTAACAAGATATACAAGAGAAATTAGATCTTTTTATTAAATCCTGTTTGAGGTAAGGTATCCTTGATGAACACGAAGTGTCTCATGCATATTGCTAGTTCTTTTTTCGTTGATTTTTAATGGTATGAATTTTTTAAAAAATATTTGAATTGATTGGATATAGCTCATACAATTGGTTTAGTAAGCTGATTAATCTCCATTAAATCAACTGCAAGATTTGGCTCTGGCAAATGAGTCTTTCTTTGACTAGCTGGACTAGAAATTTTTGAAGGCCATCCAGAATTAACTAATGCTACTACATGTAGCAAAATGTATAGTGTAACATGCATTTAGTAATTATATTTTGAATTCTAAAATTTCTGAGAATATATTACGATTTTTTTTGGAAATAAAAATACAATCTCTTTTAAAATTTGTTTAATTATACAAAAATAGATCTAGTGACCCAACCTTTTCTTATTTTTTGAATAATTTTCAATTCAATCCGTAAGGATTTGCATCTAACTCTCTATTTTCTTTTCTGTACAACATTGTGGCTGGCGGCTGGCGGGCATGACATGCTGTGCATATCAAAGAAAATAATAGTTGGGCTTAGAATGTTATATACACCTAAATACAAAAAGGAAAACGATCTGCTGAAGTGGAGTCCACACGGCTATTGGACCATTAAACCACCAATTGGACAGAGCCCACCACCAAAAATATTCTTTCCATCATTTCCCCTGAACTATTATTTGTTTTACGTACGAGAAATCGAGGAGGAATTGAGAGATTTTTTACTTATTTGTTTGGTGACACTAATTATTTTTAGGAGTTTGGAGTGGGAAATCTCTAATTCATTCTATTAAAGTATTTTAGATGCCATGAAATATTATTTTTGGTTTGGTAGGGAATGTAATGTCCTTTTAAGACGAGAGGTATTTTTTTTTCCTCTCAAAAAAAGACGAGGGGAATATGAAAATTTAAATTTCTTGACTAAAATATGCTTATGATTAATATTAAATGGACCAATATATTTTTATTTATTTTTAACAATAATTGTTTTTATTTTTTTGGCTCAAAATTTTTAGTATAATATATTTTTTTAAGACAAAATGCATGTTAATTATTTAATGTGTTATAATTTATACAATACGCATGTGCTTAAGGATATAATTATTTTGAAAGAACACACATTGACAAATTAAATATTTTAAGATTCAAGAATAAAATAGTAAATTTATTTAATTTTTTCATGAATTTCTTAGTAAAAACCAAACACATGCAGTAAAATACATCATTATAAATTTTTATTTTCAATATAATTAAAAAAAAAAAACAAAAAACAAAACATGCTAATATAATTAAAAACATGAAGTTCTTAATTTTTTATACATCAAGCAAGTTTATGAGTTCAAACATAATTTGATTTTTAATATTCTAAAACCAAGTCTAGTTTTTGATATTCTTGATTCAAATGAGAAACTGTTAAAAGTCATCAAGCTGTTACTTGGAAGGATTACACATGAATGAAAAAATAAAATAAAAAATCTAATAAAACTTAAACATCTTCATGAATGGTAATAGTACTCTCACGACCAGAAGTTGGCTCCATATCTCTAATGAAATCTCTAGAATTGTCATTCCTTTCATTACCAGCACAAATAGCAGTATGAATATCATCATCTCTAGTAGAAAGTGCAAAGTAGAGTGCCCCATTGCAGGTGAAGGACCAAAGCTCTACAGTGGAATTCAGATGGAGACGGTTCGTCTTGTTTCTGATCACAGAATTCCAACCTTTATTCAAGACGTAAGTGCCAGTCCTATTCATCATCCATTTCTTCAAATGCATTGGCTTCTCTTCAAGGCATGGTTGGATGATTGTAACATCAATGGCTTCACGATTATCCAGTCTCCTCCTGTCTTCTGGCGTGAGGAAGTCCATGTCAATAACTTGATTGACAGGGATTGAGAAGCGACACTGTTGAGGGCTCAAGTCGGTGTCATATGGTTGCTTGATTATGACCAACTTTGGGTCACTGACTGCATTTTTTGTTGCCAAATAGTTGCTTAATTGAATTGGCAGTGATTAGGTCACCCTTCTTTTCTTGTTGGAATTTCGGTTTTGGCATTCTTCTGCTTCTTTTTCAATAAAACCTCGCTTAGTTCCTGCAGTGGGTGTTGTCGGAACCTGCTTGAACGTCTTGTTCGGTCTCCTGCTATAAGTTGATCTCCTTTTGGTGGGTATGGTGATGGCACATAATGCCCACAAAGTAGAGGTATTGTAGGCAAAAGCAAATTGTGCTAACAGATCAATGAGGGGGGGGGGGGGGGGGGGGGGCAGGTGAAAGAGGGAATTGATGATGTTTGAGTAGAAGGAACAAGGGTGTTGTTTTTTTTTCTTGAAACAAAGCTTTAGGTTAGAATTGTTAACCCGTAAAGATCAAGAGTAGCTTTAACTGATGATATGGGTCTGGGCTTCTTCTGCTTGTTCATCTTCCTAGTATGTAAGTGCTGTCGTAGTCCCAGTCTTTGAGAAGAGAAGAAGAAGCGGCAGTCACATCAGCCAAGAGATTCAAATCGCAAAATTTGTAGGCTTCTTGATCAAGTGGAAAACAGTTTCTTTCCTTTGGTGAAAGTTCAGAAACCAGTACATCTGGAAATTTGGTCTCCTGCTTCTGCTTCTTCTTCTTCTTCTTCTTATTAGAATCATCATCATTGCAATCACCTAAATCTTGATTTTTATGCGTGATCATGTGTAATTGATAATCACCAACGGCAACATCTGCCAGGAGATGTAAGCCCTCCATTCCCATTGAAGTAAACAACACAGAGTAAGGAAGGAGATGAAAATCAAATGCAGAGAAAGAGACGGACTTGAAGAAAGTTTTTCTTTGTTTATTTCTTGGGAGGAGTTTAGGGTTTGTTGATTGAGAGATTCAGAAAGTTCAGGGTTTGAGCGACTAAGAAGTTGCTTGATTTCCAAGAAAGACAAAAAACCGAGAGTTAGATTAGTGATGAAAGTTTTGAGAAATTGGGAGGAGGAGTCCGTTACATGTAAGGAAGAAACGCGGGCTTTCCTTCTCATCCAACGGCTATATAAAATCGACGGCTGAAATTTGTATCCTATTTACCAATTTACCCCTCCCTTTCTTTCGAATTTCAAAACCGTGCCATCCTTCCGACCCGTCCCACTTTTCCAAGGGTTTTAATTTGCATTTTGTGGAAATGGAAGGACTTGTAAGTAAGATTGAAGTGGAGAGAGGGTGGGGTGAGCGAGTAGAGTCGAGGTGAGTCGAGTCATTCATGAGTACTGCTTTGAGCATTGAAATTGTACAACTCAAGAAGAAGAAGAAGATGAAAAAGGAACGTTGCATGAATGAATGAGACTCACATCAGACACACAAAGATGAGTTGGGAGGTGAAGAAGCAGCATCAACAATGCAACTCAACTCAACTAAACTCAACAACAAATTGGGTATAATGTTTCTCTTAGAGCTTTAATTCATTAGTTAAATATCCATTTATGCTTGTCTTTTCTTTCTGTCTATTCTATCTAGCCATCTAGGTTTTGGGCTATATTACTCACTGGGGTTTTAATATGCCTAATCTAATTTCTTAGAGCTTTAATTCATTAGTTAATTATCCGTTCCTCAACCAACAATCCTTTTTGTTTATGATGTGTTCGTTGTAACGCCAGAGGAAATGGAGGAACATAATGTATTGCATTTTCTTGACTGACAATATAGTGAAAGGATTATTGGTGATAAGAGGGAAAGGAGCGTAGGTATTTTGTGAAAGAACAGCGGCGGTACATAATTTCTTGGAGTAATGCGTTGAGATTTCATCCTGGTTAATTGGGTTATCTTTTTCATCATCAGAGTCTTCTGTTCTTGTCGTGGGTAATTGGATTTTATCTGTGTGGGTGATTATGTCCAAGTCTCTTTGCTGCTTGGAATTCTTCTTGGATCAGTAGACTTGCAATATGTCCTTTAAAGGCTTTCAACAGTTATCCATTGACATGTTGTTTATTAGAGCTTTTAATTGCTGACTGAAATTGGGTTAAATTGATGATTGCGGTCGATAAATGGCAACATTCTCCAATTTATGCTATCAACTTTGTTTAATTCTCATTTCTTGTATTCTTTTTTAAGACCAGATATTTCCAACTTAAATGATCGTTTCCATGTCATGAAGTATTCAAGTCTGAATTGAGAGAGTTGCTCAACAAAAAATTATATAAAAAAATTCTACTGAACCACTTAAAGGAAATGGATCTAAACTATAATTCAACAATAATCAAGTAATCCTAAAAATAATTAATATACAGGACGTATTATTAGAGTCCATTATAAATAGAGTTCCTAATTAAATTTGAATATATATATATAAACTGGCTTTTTATTATAATTTTTTTCCTGCATTAAGTTTTTCTTCTGTTTTTTTTTTCCCTGTTAATTTCTTTTTGTCCTGCTGTTGAGAAGGAAATGATTGCAGGATCAGAGAAGGGTTCTAAGTGTTGTCTTCGAGGGAAGCTAGACATGCAAGCTGCAAACAAATGCCTTTGAGATCCTGTCTACTATTGATGCATCACCAAAACCTCACCATCAATTGGGTACTGAATACAATGTATATCCCACCTATGATTATTCGTTGATGCTGAAGAAGGTATAACTCATGCATTCCGAGCAAGCGAGTATCATGACTGAAATCCTTAATATCACAGGATTCAAGAGGATATGGGAGTATGAAAGGTCCACCTTTTTTAATTTAGTCGATGGAACATGTCCTACACAGTTCTCAGCAAGCATTACCTTAAATGGTTTTTGAGAAGGGAAAGGTTAATGGATGGGATGATCCTTGACTTCCAACTATTCAAGGAATTGTACGTAGAGGTCTGAAGTTGAAGCCTTGTCAAAATTTATTCTTGATCAGGTAAAATACTATGTCTCATTTGTGTTGACTTTAGAGTTTAGACCTTTATATTACCATGATTCATTTTAATAGCTGTAGCCTGTATTTTACACAAAAATGTGATGAGATGCCACGTTCTACCTGAACTGTATTATAGGCAAACATGCCTTGTGCGTCTCCATGATGCATTTTGGCCTTTGCTTTTTCCTGTTACAGCATTCGTTACTTTTAATAATCAGTTTCCAAAAATATAAAATCATTTTGCTGAACTTGTTATTGCTGTGGATGCAGAAAAAACAATCCAACAAACCTGACAATATGGATCTCTGATTTGGAACTTGTTCCTAATGGAAACTTGTCTGTAAACCAAAACAGGAGGCTTTGAAGAAAAGGGTTGCAGGATATTAAGTTTGCTGTCAAGCACAGGCTTCTTAATTGATACTCCTATGTATCTGCAGCAATACAGTCTTTAAACCTGAGGTAATTGTTTTCTTTATGAAGTAATTGGGAACTCTCATCTAATTTGGTATTGTAATGATCTTTGTTTCCTTAGGTCATGTTTCTGTATTTTCTTTATTTTCCTTCTATCAGGATTAGAATCCTGCTTTTCTTTTCATAATTGATATTCAATTCATTCATCGAAAAGAATAAAAAGAGTGCTGGGGATTGACTGTGGAACGGCATGCTAATAGTTAATGGGAATTTATTGCTCATGCAAAATATTTTGGGCATGATTCTGGTCTCTAAGAATTGATTTTGTTTTCCATATTCCTCTTACCTCTACAAAGAGAGCAAGGCAACGAGCTGCCTTCAGAGTCACATTGCCATTCATAGAATAGGTTATGAGTTTGATTGCCTGATAAAAGGAAGGATAAGATGAACCAAAACAAAGGAACTTACTTCTATCTAGCAGCAATTAGGACCAGGACTTCTTATTATTATTTTGATATATTTTGATAGGCCAGTACTATGAAGGCACTTCTACCCTCACGAACTCAATAGATCACAATGGCTAAAGAATAGTTGACCAAACCCAACGCCTGTGAACAAATTTGCAGTAGAGTGTTTAATTTTTAAGATAGGTTTTATATTTTCTCATGTTTATCAAGTAATTAATTTCATACGGTTTCGGGGATCATCAAAAAAATTCACAATCTCAGGGAATGGGGCAAACTTTTCTTGCTTAATAATTACTATCATTATTGATCCCAAGTGTGTCCAAGACATACTGTTGTCATCGTAGACCGGCGTGTGTTGCTGAAATTGACCAATGGTCCCGATAAACCATTTGTTCGCATCATACCCCGACGTAAGAAATATGAGGGTGCTCGAGAGAAGGCCGCAACTTACACAAGCAGGATTTGGACAGACCATGCCGATGCGAAGTCTGTTTCTGTGGATGAGGAGATGACATTAATGGACTTGGGAATGCCATAGTGAAGGAAGTTGAGAAAGACCAGGAGGAAAATGTCAGACAATTGATTGGGGTTTTGCACCCTGAAGGATCAGTTGAAGATGTATACAAAGCTGAAGTTGCTTGGCTACCCGAGACAAGCAACTTAATTAGTTAGCCTGATACTTGTGCATTTTGAACATATACTCGATAAGAAGAAAAACAAGAATTGGGTAATTAATTCTTGGTCTATTGATTTTGTAACTTTTTATTTTTCAGTTTCCAAAATATATGGATCCATATATTTTTTATCAGAGATGGGGCAATCTTTATTGGATTTTGGCAAGGCAGCAAAGCTTCTTGGTGCTTGTGAAGAAGATGCCCTAGGAAAGGCATTTTCTAAGCTTGCGACTAAATCAGATGCATTATCAGTTAAGCTGCTGAAGGAGGTAGGCTTTAAGTCAATGGTGCCTTCCCGTTCTAGATTCAGCATTTTGTTTTATTCTCTTTGTGTGTGCATGCCCTTAGGTCTACGTAGGCTTTTGAGGGAGTTAATAAGCTTCTTTGTAAATCATTAACGTGTTTCTATGAACTTCCAGGCCCATCAACTCCTGATGAATTTCCAAGAACCATTGAAAGATTATGTTTCTGCTGTCCAATCTATTAAGGCAAGTTTGGTTTGCCACTCCGCTCCCACTTTTTTCCTATCTTTTCACCAATTCATCCTCTTTTTCTATGGTGTAACTTGCACTACATTTGTCTTCGAAGCTGATCTCGTTATTCTGTGTACTTTGACAGGCTACCGTAGCTGAGCGGGCCAATGCCTTCAGGCTTCAATTTGAACCGGCTGAAACAATAAAGTTGAAAGAGATAAATCTGTATGTCCTGGTTACTCCTTTCCTTGTTCTTTTAACTTTATTTTATCTGTGATTTCAATGGTACCATGTGAAATGATCACCAACATTGCAAGAGACGGTACCTTGCCTTTTCTCTTGATTCTTATTACTGTACTCTGATAGTCTGATAAGTGTTTATTGGTAATGATTTAAGCTACCATATCTCTCGTGCAACTTGAATTAAGTTCGTAAATACAAGTGTCCTCTAGCAAAGCAGCAGTGTTGAAAGTGTTGGATTAGGATCCGTGCTTATAATTTTCTCTTACCACATTTCAAACGGTAACAAGGCAGCATTTACAGTGTAGTAAAGACGGCCTTTTAGCATCTAATGCGATGCATAGTTGCTTTTTTTCATACATGCAACTTGCCAAAGTAGTCAAATTTTCTCCACTGGGAATGCTAAAAAAAGGCTCAGAAATCCTGAATCTTGAAACCCCATTGCATCACTGAAGCTGTCCATTATTGTTGACCTTTTCCCATTTTTCCATGGTAATCAGTTTTTGCTGATGGCCCAGATGATCTCTGGAGTTTCTATTCCATTTCTATTGCTGCAGTGACAAACTTGTGCCAGCACGTTCTGACAAAGCAGCAGAAGCGGAGCATGCGGACGAGGAGGCAAACTATCTTATGTGTAGCATATTGCACCTTAGAAATCTTAAGAGCAGCATATTGCACCTTAGAAATCTTAGTTACCTGACTTAAAGTTTGTTTCCATGCGGTTGAAAGCGGAGAGTGAGGAAGCAACAAGAAGGTTTGAGACAATTGTTAGACAAATGAACGAAGAGATTGTGCGCTTTCAAGAACAGAAAACATTGGATATGGGGATTGCTCTTCATGAATTTGCGGAAGGACAGCACGTTTGGCCAATAGCATTGCAGATGCTTGGAGAAGTCTTCTTCCTAAACTTGAAGCGTGTTCCATTAATGAATACCAAAAAATGAGCTCTTGTTCACTTTCTTCGTTTCTTAGGAATGGTAGGGCCAATCTCTTGCTTTGAATAAACCATAGAGTTCTGGGAGTTCTGCTATTCTGGTTTTGTACAAGATACGGCTCTTTTGCAATTTTCTTTTCTTTTCTTTTTTTTTTTTTCTTGCACAAACGTGAAACCAAGTGAACAGCACATTGGGAGCAAACAAGGAAAATGGTCACCTGTGTTTTATGCTTCAGATCCTCTCTTCTCACTTAATACCGTGTCCTAATTTTCTTTAAAATTATCATGCAAGTCCATATTTTTTTATTTGCGGTTTACCCTTAATGTTTCCAATTTGGAATTGGATTTGTTCTATGAATTGCATTAAGTTGTTGCACTAGTTTTGGTACTTTGGTTTTCTCCGTGTTCCCATCTGCAAGGGATCAAGGAAGTTGTTTATGCGTGCTAGATAAAGAAAGAAAGGCAGTTGTTTATGCTGGCGGGTGTTTCTTGGAGACTCAGGCATGATCGATGCTGAGCCCTTTTGTGTGTGGACCTCAAGTGACTTTATTCTCTGTTACATGTTCCAACTTCCTAATATAAGATGCAGGTCTCCTGAGCGCCTTGGAGGCAGGAATTTCCCAACTGCTTGGTACAACTCCGATAAAATTCACAGCTTATGCAATCATAACTCTCCCATCTCATTTCCTTTTTTCTTTTCTTATCGAGACTATACGGACAGAGAAAAGATACGATTTTTCACAAGTTGCAGAGTTCTAGCTTCTAAGAGCAACGCAATTTTAAAATGAGGTTTCCCAGCACTTTCTTCAACTTCATAAATTAAAATTCTGCAAGCTAAAGTACCTTGCATAAATTAGAACTAGACCCAATTTGAAACATTCAATTCACGTCAAATCTTAAACATACCAAAAATTATTCTACTGCCCCAAATCTTAAATCAGCATATTTTCATCGAATTAAACCTACAACAGTGTATTTACTACAAGATTGCAGTGAAAAAACTACCTAAAAGAAATCCCTAGTGCGACATTAAACATCATTCAGGGACGAGTTGCCAATTTTCCTACTTTGATATAAAAAGAGAATATATTCATCTGATTCACTGTCACAACCCAAAAGCAGACCTGTGGCATTAGAACTGCTATGATCCTCTCAGCTAATTCGATACATAGTCTTTTTAGACTGTTCGTGCCCCATAGCCAATGGCTCGCTTCCTTTAAGATGCCAATGGTATCTGGATACATTCAAGGACGAGATGCCAATTCTCTAATTCCAAAACAAACGAGCTGATAAAATCTATAAATTTACTTCATGCATAAAACCAGAGAAGCTAGATTAGCAAGTAAACAACATATTCCAAAGACAATAACAAAAATAATCTCAAAATGATGACACCCTAACTTTAAAGATCCACATAAACCTCTAATCTTATGATAGAAAAGAGATTGAAAGATCAACAAGACAGTTAAACTCTTAACCAAAATTTATAACATTAAACAAAAATCACTGTCGCTGAACATGATAAGCTCATTCTTCATCTTCTTCATCTCCATCTCCACCTGCAGCCTTCTTGGCAGCAGCCTTCTGGTTCTTTCGCTTCACTCTACCAGGACGTCCACCACCAAAGGGGCTTGTGAGAGAGAAATCAATGTGCTTCTGCGAGTCCACTCTCACCAAGAAAGATGGAATGTTGACCACCTGCCTCCCAACCCTGCCAGGCAAGACTTTAAAATCCAGAATCCAACAGAGTAACACGACAAAAGACAAAACATGAAGGGCAATGATCAGGTAAAATGGTTATAACTGCTTTAAGTTGACATTTTTGACAAGCAAATCTCAAACCCTGAAATCACAGGAACTTAAATAGATGCTAATTTTGAATAAAGGGAAGTCAGAACATTTTTAAACAAGAAAAGAAAAGAAAAGAAAAGCACCTAGTGTTATAAAAACAGGAAAAATAACAATATCAGACAGGTGAAACTTTAATTGCAAATGCATTGCATCTTTTAGAACAAAACTTTAACATGCATTGATCATGTAACAACACGGTTAGTATAAGAAATTATTATATATACCTAATGTGCCTCTGTTTGATGAGCACTCTGGCATGGTGGATGGACTTAGCCATACCAGCCTTGAAGACAAGAGTCTGGAGGCGGCGTTCAAGAAAGTTTTCCACAGTGAGAGCCAAAACATAATCAAGCTTGTTCTGACTCTCCTCCAAAAGCCCATACCTATTCATCCTTCTCAAAAGCGCTTCACCCTCGAAAATACGGCGTGGGTTCTTCTCATCAAGAGTGAGAAGCATTCTTGCAGCATTACGAATGCGACTCAATGCATACTGAACCCTCCAGAGTTCCCTCTTGGCACGGAGCCCGTACTCTCCTACGAGCTTCAGCTCAGCATCCAAACGTTCCTTCTCATAAGGACGCCTTGGCTTCTTAAAAGTTTTCCCATCTATAGGAAAACAAAAACGAAGATACTGAGCTCACTTTTGTTATTCAGATCATCAAATCAAAATTAAAATGCAAAGCACAGATGTTAAACTCAAGACAAGTGAAAGCTAAATTTCTAAATTCTATATAAAATAATACGTATCAAATTTACAAGAACAGAGGAAGAAAATAAGTTTTGCAAAAAAAGAAGCTAAAACTCACAAGAACAATCCAGAAATTGAGTATAATAAAAAAAAGTTCAAATTACGGTGGAAAATTAGAAAAATAAAACGAAGAAAGGGAGATCGGTAGCTTACAGTTGCGATAGAAAGAAACGTGCACCATCCTTGTTCGCTGCCGTCTGCTATCTTAGTTAGCCGGCTGCGACCTCGGTTAGGGTTTAGAGAAGCGATGAAGCATAAAGCTGAATTTATACTTAGAAGATCTCTCCACCCTCGTATGCCATGGGTCAAAAAGAAAAGAAAGCCCTAACTCTAATTCTTTATTTTATTTGGGCTAGTCCAAATGTTAATGACCAAATTGGGCTAAGCCTGAAACCTATTTCTTTTTAAAAGTATTTACCAAAGGTATTCTCTCTCTCTCTCTCTCATATATATATGTACACACCTAAGCCGGACTGAAACCCTTTTCCTTTTATTTCTTGGTAACATTATTCTTTATTTTGTTAATAAATTGATGTTTCTTGATGGATATTTTTCTATAAATCGAAAAAATTTTACGGATAAAAAGATGATTCTTGATGTTTTTTAATAGTACAAATAGGATTCTTCATATTTTGAATCAAATGCGTTTAGTATTCTACACAAGCTTGCAATTCTTTTTTTAATTCTTTTTTTGGATTTCGCAGTCACACATAACTCAATTGTTTTTTTTTTTTTTCAGATTTAACGGTCACATGCATTTCGAATCAACTTGTATTTATTAAGATTAAATTCACTTTTATAATTCAATGAAAACAAGCTATCCATTTTGGAACTGCAAAATCCAAATAAAATAAGCTGTTTGTATCGAAGTATGAGATCAATAAGACTTTTAATTCTATAAAATCTGATATTGAGGCTCGAATGCTGGTGGTCAAGTTTATTGGCCTATAATTATATAAAACTAAAATTGGGATGCCTTTTTATTGTTTAAAATAAATAGTAACTTTCCTCGAAAAAATCACTTTATTTTAGTAAAACAACATATAGCAAAATGATGTCGTTTTAATTAATTAGAATATTTGGCCTTTGTAGTTTAACATTATTGTTTTTGATCCCATTATAAATTGACATAAAGTTTCAATATGATTCCAGACTTTGTTGTCTTTACAAAAAGGAGAGTAATCAAAAAGAAAATGGAGAGGAGAGAAAGCCCTTGAAACACCTCTATCCCATGGTGGATGGAGGTTATTTAAATCTGATGAGATTCCTCTCGACATATAGAGTTTATTAGATGCGATTTTGAGTTTTGATATAAATCTAAATTTAAAAAACAAGTTTTGAAGTTTATTTCGTTTTTCATACTTTAAAAGTTAATTAAAATATATTTTTATGTTAGAAATTATTTTCTCACGGACTTAAGGATTGTTTTTCAGGTGTTTTGTAGAAAGGGGGTGGGTGGGTGGGCGGGGCGGGGCGGGGCAGGGGTAGATGGGATTTAAGGCTGTTTGTCTCAGCGGGGGCAGTGCTTCGACGATCACGGAGTCGTCGGAGACCCCCTACCGATGACAAATCGTCTTTACGGAATATATGCTCTCTCTCTCTTGTAATCATCCCAGGCCACAACCCGCATAAACTCAAGCCTAGACTGTCAGGCATGCTTGCGGGTCCTTAAATTGGAAATGAAATTAAAAAAGTGAAATGTATAGAATAATTGAATAAAACAAGTACTGTTATCTGAGCAAAATAATTTAATTCTAACTATCTGTAAACTAAAAATTTTCATTGTTAAGAAAAAAAGCATATGCATTCACTTTTAAAAACATATGTTTGCTTGTTTATCTTTTTTGTAGACCGTCCCCTAGGGCTTATTGGTCTATAATTTAAGCACCATAGCCGTGAAAGTTGTAGAGGAAAAAAGAGTTGATTATATATGTGGTTTACCAGCTTATCATTTTATTATATATATAATCAAGTGTATATTTTTTAATCTTTGTTATTTGAGTAGATCAAATTGTAATTTTTTTCTAATCAAGTGTTTCAATTAACTTTTGTTAACTTTATATTAACGTAGTCGTTGTGGCACCGACATGAGAGCCCCATTATCAAGATTAATGTGTTAGTTAACTACAAATGTCAATCTGTGCTGTATGCTCCATCATAAAATGTTTATGTCCAAAAAATTACTACTACGTAAATAAGAATAGATAAAACAATACATATATAATATTAAATAAGATATTTTTCTAATCAATCCATCTTATTCAACCTAAATTCGAGTCATCATTCGCTCTAAATTAAAACTCAATTTCATATTGTCATATTCCAAACAACCGTCATTTTTAGATTTTCTACCGAAAATGAAAATGGATTATTGTCTTAGTAAATAAACACAATTGAACTTTTATGTTTTCATTTTCAAATCATTTCTTTACATTTGAATATATTTAAGTAATTTATTTTTTAAAAAAATTACTTTTTATGTAAAGGTCATAAATACCTTATCGTTATTATGTAATTTATTTGTTTTTATTGTTGTTATGTGAGAATGAGAATGAATAATTCCTTTTTGATTTTTTTTTAATTGCCATGTGTCTTGATAATAGATCTACGTGACGGTTTTATGTGTGTAGTTAACATACACGTCAATCTAGAGTTAACGAAGCCACTCAATTAGAAAAAAATTACAAGTCGGTATACTCATTTAGTAAAAATCAAAGTTTATACTCTCAAATAGGAAAAAAAATTGACAAGTTTATATAAAAAAATAATAGTGGAGCCCATATGCCAATGTCATGGTTGCGGTTAATGACCACGTCGGTATAAAATTAATGAAAGTTAACGAAAACACTTAATTAGGAAAAAATTGCTACTTGATGTACTCAAATAACAAAATTAAAAAAGCACATACTTGATTAAAAAAAATTGAAAATTGATAAACTAAAATATAATTAACTAACTCGGGGAAAAATACGACTAGAATAGTGAGATAGAGTTTTTGAATGGTTAACATGATAAATGTTCCATTAAACAATCAATGCATCATCTCGAGTTCTTTATTGGTACAATTGTATTTTCCACCAAAAACAATAAAGAAAACACCATGACTCTTTTGTAAAAGAACACAAACAAGATGCATTGGTTTTTTAAAATAATAAATTCCAAATTCTAGTTGTGTTGTGATTTTAAAAAGTTAAAAAGTTTGTGAATTGAATCATATAAGCAAGAAAAACTTTCTAAACATTAAAATTGACCATGTTGGCTAAGATGAATCTATCAACAAATTCAACAAATCAAACTTCACTTCATGCATTGGCCAAGGATATACCTCCCCGAATTTAGAAATTAGCATAACCTCTTATTAATGGACGAGAGAAGAGATTGAAAGATCAAGAAGATAGACTCTTGGAACAAACTTTATAACATTAACCATAAATTACGAAAACTCATCCATCATCTTCTTCATCTCTATCTCCACCAAGAACCTCCTTGGTAGTAGCCTTTTGGTTCTTTCCCTTAACTTTACTATGGAGTCCACCATAAAAGGGCTAGCGAATGCGAAATCAATGTGATTTTGTGAGTCTACTCTCACCATGAAAGATGGAATATTAACCATATGCCCCCCAACCCTATAAGGCCAAAGTAAATATCAATAAAGAGGTAAAACTTTAAAATCCAAAATACAAAAATAGCACAACAAAAGACAAAATATGAAGGGCAATCGATCGAGTAAAAAAAATTAACAATCGGGACTATGTTAACTTGGAACACATGGGAGACGTGTCGAAAGGATTACATAATATCTTCTTGCAATATCAAATTTCACAGCCCACATAGGTCATAGGAGGGGATCCACCAATCGGACGAGTGATGCGCGTTCATCAATCACATAGCTTCTTGAATATTAGCAATAGTTGGACTTAAACCATCACATACCTAACAAAATAATTTCGGATCATATTTCTTGAAGGGGACATAAGTCATAACCATTAACACACGATTCAAAAACACGAGTAGAGCTCGAAGCTTTGAATTGAGAGGACCTTAACACTAATTATGAATAAAGGGTAGTCAAGACATGTTATAAATAAAAATAAAGTAAAGCGTAATATTAGAAAATTAGAAGAAAATAAGCAAAATCGGACAATGCAACTTCAATGCTAACAACACACACTTGTTTCAAATGCATCTTTCGAGTAAAATTTTATCAAATACATGAATATCATTGTAACTTGAGCATCATATATGCCCCTTTAACAAGAAAACATAAGAGAGAGATTCCACTATATATCGAATATGCCTCTTTTTAATGAGCATTCTCGCATGGTGGATGGACTTAGCCATACCGACCTTGAAGATAAAAGTCCGAAGGCGATGCTCGAGAAAGTTTTCCACCATAAGGGCCAACACATAATCAAGCTTATTCTAGCTCTCTTTCAAAAGCCATACCTATTTATCCTCCTCGAAATGCCTCACCCTAAAAAATATGGCTTGGGTTCTTCTCATCAAACACGAGAAACATTATGGCAGCATTCCGAATTCGACTCAAGGCATATTGAACTCTCTAGAGTCTTTAAGCATGAAGACCATACTTTCGGACGAGCTTCAACTCAACATCCAAACAATCCTTCTAATATGGACTTCTTGGTTTCTTGAAAATTTTCCCATCTACATACAAACAAATGATAGATTCTTCATAGATTAGTTATATAGAAGATGTTAGAACTTCGTGGGCACAATAAAAATTCACAAACACTTGTATTTTTTTTTTATCTATACACATATTTACTATTCAAAATCAATACGAATAGTTTATAAACACCGTAACATAAATTGCCAAAATCTAAATATGAAATTAAAGAGCGAGTAATTACCTTCTACATTGAAAGAAGATTTATAAGCTTACCCAAGCACCTTAATCATCATGATAACAAGGAAATCATAGATTCAATGAGATCTTGTAAAGGGTATCGTTGCACTGGACAAGATTAACTCTAAGGTGATTTCATATAAGAAAATTATTCGTCTATTATTCCTCTATAAGCATGCATCAATCAATTGCAACAAATTCAATTAGCTTTGTTCCAAGAAACACGATATGAAACTTAATTACACAATTGATGAAACCTTCTTTAACCAATGCCAAATACAACAAGGATGGTTCTTCTTTGATTTTAACCCATTCATCTCCTCATGTCCCTTTGCCCTTCCTCTAAAAACCCATCTCCTCATCCGAAAAGGAAATGAGGAGAAAGATATTCTCAAAGGAAAAGCGAGAAAACTAAAAATTTATCTCACCAAGCCATCATTACTTCCCATCGATATCAAAACATAGTTTTTCATGCCAATAATGAAGATCGGAAGATGGAAATATAATAACAAAAATGTGTCACATTGACCATTTTGTAACTCATAATAGTGTTTAAACTCTAGACATTTACTCATTACACTAATTTTATATACAACAAGCCTCTTGTAAAGCTACCAAGCCCATATAATCATCAATTTTCTCCTCAATCAAAAGACTAATTAATGTGACATGCTAAGTCTCACATAAGGTATGCATATAATTGGCCCTTGCCATATAACTTTGTCTATTAATCCCAAAAGCAACTCGATTTTGTCTATCCACTAATTCCGAAAGCAACTTTAAATAACACTTTTAATAATTAGCCCATGGAGTTTTACTTTGTAGAGCTTCTAATACGTGGAAGTTGGAACCCTACTCTCTCAGGTTGCAAGTAAGAGTGCATATTTACTCCCTCCATTTGTCCATCAATTCCAATCACGCTAATAGGTTATTAACAAATTAGAACTACAAATTACACATTACTTTTGAATAAAAAAACCCATACATATAATTTATTGATCCATGATGATGACGATAATCCATGTTATCAATTAAATACTATTTTTTTTTAAAGAGAAGAAGTATATCATCTCATCTAGGTCCGGTCGACAACACATACAACATCCAAGATGTCAACAAAAATTTAAGCTTAGATAGTGACTCATAAAATAAATAAGAGTGTGAATCACCAAATGATAAGAAAAATTCACATAATAAAGATAAGCTAAAGTTGAAAAGGAAATTAAAACTTAATCTTTTCTATCTCAAAAAGGTTAGTTTCTCGTCAAATAATTAAAAACAAAATGAACACTTTAAACACTAAAAAAAAAAAATAGATATTATAAGAAAAAATTATTAAATTACACGCAGAGAAAAAAATCTAGCAAAAGTTAAAGAAGGAATCAAAGGTTGAAATAATGGGACTCACTCGGAACTCGAAGGGGGTACTTAATGATGATATCTTGTGATTCTTCTAGTCTATGCTCTATGAAAAAATTACAATACATATTAACAAAAACACTAAAAGAAATTGATAATTTACTATTTATCACTATATGTTTAACTCGTTCCTTGTGACTCATTTAATTGTGCCCTTCCTTTCACTATTCTTGGTTTTCATCCTAATAATCACAATCATTAGATTGTGATAGATATGTTTATTTTATCTCAATCTCACCAAGCCTCCATATTTTTAGATAAGAGAAGTCACCATTCTCCTCTTCACCCCAAAACCTTGTTGCAACTCGCAATCGCCGCCATCACACATTACAAAAATGATTGTAGTTTGCGATGGGATATTAGTAACGGTTTTTAAACCATTGCTAATCAATAAAAAATTATGATGGTTAGGAAAAAATGATTATTTGTGATGAGTTTAGCGACGATTTTAAAAACTTTCGCTATTTCGAGTCAAATATGATCGATTTTTGCGATGATTTTCAAAACTGTCGCTAAATTTTATTTTATTTTTTTTCCGTGTAAGGAAGTTGCGATGGTTTTTTGCAAAAAAATCATCATAAATGCACCAACATTAGCTACGAATTTCAAAATCGTCGCTAAATTTTGACTATTGGGGACAAATGACTATTTTAAATTTTTGGATAAAATAAGTGACGGTTTAAAAACCGTTGCTAAATTTTAATTTTATTTATTTTTTGCTTTGTAAGGAAGTTGCTATGGTTTTTTCCATAAAAACCGTCGCAAATATACCAAAATTATCGACAATTTTCAAAACCATCATTAAATTTTGACCGTTGGGCAAAAAATGACTATTTTGAATTTTTAGATAGAATTAACGACAATTTAAAAACCATCACTAAAAGTTTTAATCCCTAAATAGCTACTGGACTCGAATTTTTTTCCCAATTTTTTTTTCCTCTCTTTTTCTTCTTTTTCCAACCATAATTTTCTCCTCCTCATTATCTCCATTACTTCTTCGAATCTCCTTCTTTCTCTCATTTTCCTCTTCCCCTCCATCTCTCCCCCTTTCTTCCTCCCTTTTTTTTTCTTTCTCCCCCTTCCCTCCACCTCCCTTAATCCAACCTCTCCATCGCGAACGAGTGCCACGAGTAGCACCACCAATGTGGCGCAGCTGACTCCTCCCTCGTCTAATCCTCAAATTATCTTATTGGTAACCCATTTATTCATTTTTTATTGCAATTATTAAATTTTATGTTAATTTTTATTGTTAACTATTATTGTTAATTGTTGTTAATATTTATTAGTTATTAGTTAATTATTAATGTAATTGTTGTTGTTAATTGTTAATTGTGTTATTATTGTTAATTATTTATTCTTTAATTAGTTATTTTAATTTTTGGTGTTTAGAAAATTTAATTGTTAATTATGTTGTTGTTTTATTATTTATTATTAATTATTAGTTATTTTTAATTAATTTTTTTATTATGAGTAATTGTTATATGTTGGTTATTAAATTAAGTGTAATTATTTGTATTTAAATAATTTTGTAAGAGTTAGTCTAATTAGTTATGTGTTTAATATTTTTTATGTAGTTGGTTATTAATTTAAGTGTAATTGTTTGTATTTAAATAATGTAATTGCTCTTGAAATATTTAATAGGTGGTGTTAATTTAAGTAAATAAACTACCAATTGTTTATTAAGTGATTTTCAATAAAATTAATTAAATTTAGGCAAATTAAATTATCAAATTATATTAGTGTTAGTTTAATTATATATATAGGTGTTAATTCAACCTTAATTAAGTAAATTTATTATTTGTTAATTAGCAAATTAAAATATTGTTTAAAATAATATATTAGGTTGTTAATTAAGAAAATTAGTTTACAATTATATTATATAAATATTGTGTAAAATATATAATTAATTATTATTTTAATTTATTTGTTTGTTAATTAAGTTTATTTAGTTGTTGATTAAGTCAATTACTTAATAAGTAAATTTAATAATTTGTATTTAAAACAAAATTTTTGTTATTTTTTTGCTATGGTAGTGTTTTTAGAAGGGATTTCTCTAGTTACAAATGAAATGGTGGCTAATAATATCATGTTTCAAGCTTTGGTTGCTTTTGTCAACGTTTCTCTTGCTGGAATTATAATTGTAGTGATTGTTCATTGCAAGTGAATAAATTAAATCATGATCGTCTTGTTTTGTAATTTTCATTATGTTCATGCTATTAATTTCTTTCCACACTTTAGTGTTTTCCATTTCTAATCATTTAATTAATATATTCTTTGCGAGTGTAGGATTAAGAATCAAATTTGTTAGCTCTACGCAACATTGCTAAAGCAAAGGTTCTCACTTTCTTAATTCACCATCGATGACTTGAATTTGATCAAGGTTTTTAAGCTGCAACATTTCCTTTGTAAGCAAACCAAAAAATATATCTATATGTTTGTGATGTAATTATATATGTAAGGTTGATTTTAGGCGTGCATATGCATATATATAATATTGGTGTGTGTGTGTGTGTGTGTGTGTGTGTGTGTGTGTGAGTGAGTATATCTCTCGCTTATTGATTTTCATTTCATACATATGATATTAGCTTTTCCTTTTCGAAAATACTTAGGTCTATAAAGTTTCAAATACGCTTTGTAATTGAGACTCGTAATATGGTTTTATATTCTTGGTTAACACACTCCCTCAAGTAAATGAGATTAAAGCATGTACTAACTAGCCACCACGTTATACGTAATTTTTTCACTTGAAAAATATTAGATATGACGATATTAGTGTAATATGAAATATATATTTTAGTTTTTACCAATTATTTTTTGTTGAAAGAATTTAATTTTATTAAATTTTTTATTGAAACATTTTAATATATATTAAATTTTATATATTATAATAATTTTGTAATATATATTTTTAGTTTTTAAACTCGGAGTAGGTTAATTTAGAACAATTAAAATTCGGGTAAAAAATTTTTTAAAAAAATTTAGCGACGATTTTAAATACAAAATTTTAGCAATTAATTTTAAAAACCATTGCTAGAACTGTCGCTAAATTATGACGATTTCATAAACTCGTTGCTAATTTTTGAAGTTCGGTTATGTTTTTTTTTTAAAAAAATTTATGACGAGCTTTAATTAAATTAGCGATGATTTTTTTTGTCACTAAATTAGCGACGAACTTAAAAAACCGTCGCTAAAAACTAGTGACAAGCATTTGGTGAGGGTTTTTAAATCGTTGCTAATTTTATTTAGTGACGATCCGGATCATCACTAATTCATCGTTTTCTTGTTGTGACGACTTGACGTCGACGATCGGCCACCCACCACAACCATAGCCCGACATCGACCATCAATCACCCATCACCATCATAACCTCGCTACACCATAAGCTATTCCACCCCTAGCCAAAGATAAACTCTCTCACAACCATCGATCCCTTTTCTTGCTATCGCACCTCTCAACAATAGTCCCCTCCCTCATTGATCACCATCTAAAATCGACGACTAGCCCACCATAACCATTTCCCACCAAGATGTAGAGTCAAATTCCAGTTATGCAAGTATAGGCAACACATCTTCTTTCCAAACTCGTTTTTCACGGACTAAATGCTTTATCAAGTTACGCTCTTCAACATATATGATACTTTGTTATACCTTCCAAAATCTTCATTTTACCCATTCATTTTGTTTCACCAACTAGATGTATTTTAAATTCAAGAGAAATTCTATAAAACTAATTTTGTTCTCTATTTGATTTTTTAGGAGTTGGGATCCTTTCAATTCCATACGCACTCGTCATTAGAGGATGGTTAAACTTGATCCTCTTCTTAATTATCTCTAGTGCAACCTTTTACACGTGCTTATTGATCTAAAAATACATGAATGTGAATTCCAATATAAGAACTTATCATTTATTTGGTTATAATAAGTGAGAAAAAGAACTATTCTTTTTTTAATAACGAGAGAATTGTCCAAGTATTTGTTCAAGAACCTAGTCAAAACTATATGATTCTTGCTTCTCGATCGAGAATGTTTCTAGTGGCATAACAAATCTCCGAGTATCATTATTATTGTTATTGTTATTTTCTTTTGTATTTGCTCATTCTACTACTTTTTTATACTAAAAATTATCTATTTCTAGACCCGATTAAGAATTTGTGCGGTGTTAAAGGTATATGTGAACGAAGAAAATGGAAATTAGGTTTTTGTAGTTGTCGGATTATGCGATCCTAACACCGATTATGTTATTAATCAAGAACTTGGGCTTTAAGTGATTTTCTATAATTTGTTTAATTTATTGAATAAGAATCAAAGCTTTAATGTTCTTTGGTGTATTGTTTTTTATAATTGCTTACAATAAAAATTATATTCAATCTATCAAATACCTCTTGACCACAGGATTTGGTGTTAGGCTATTAAATGTATTTTTGTGCAGCATTTTTCTTCCTTTATAATGTTTTTAGGTATTAAATAGAGGAATAAAATATGAGGCCTTTTTTGCGGCTTTTTTTTTAATTTTTTATTTGTTGCATCATTTTTGCCTCTTTCACTCTTTAATTTTATGGTAAATGTATTTTTTGTTATTTGTGCTCCGGGTTTTGATTTTCTAAAGTTATTTTTGTGCTTGACAAAAGTAGATAAGTAAAAGTAGAGGCGATAATTTGAAATTTCTCGGGTAATTGTAGGCCATTATTTTTAACATATCTCACTTTTATTTGTTCTTGCATGAATCTTTATGTGTTTGGTTTATGAGAAAACCGTGGAAATGGAATAGAGGGCTGAAAATGAATTTTTTCTTTTTCATGCTCTTTGATTTTGAGTCAAAAGAACTCTCAAAGAAAAAAATTATTATTATTTTGCTCTATTTTAACAATTTTTCCTGGTCTTTTTCTTTTTTTATTCTATGTATTTTTTTATATAGATTTTTTCCAATTAAAAAATACAAGGCATTTTCTTTGCTTATATATATATATATATATATATATATATATATATATATATATATATATATATTGCTTTTACTCTCCACTCTTAGTCCTCTAACTCCAAAAAAAAAAAAAAAAAAAAGGAATGTCATAATAAGAGTGAACTTCATTTAATATTTGAATTTCGTAAACCATTTTTGTGTTTTTATTTGTATGTGTTTTTGCTCTACGGAGTTTACCCTTCACGAGTCCTTTTAGTTAGCAATATTTTAATTCTTTGTTCAAGTTTTTGTTCTTGTAATGCATTGTTTTTTTAGATTGTTATGTATGACGGTTGCCTTTGTTTTTCTATTTTAATTATTAAGATCTTCCGATTTAGTTTTTCCATTTTTCATTCAAGAGTTGAATATTTTTTTTGGTCTTCCGGAGTGCTCCTCGTCTTTCCGTGGAGTCTAACTTCGTTTTGTCAATTATTATATGTTAAAAGAATGGGTTAAGGCAACTCGTTAAAGAAATGTGGATGAAAATCCTCAATCAAGCTTTTTCGAAGAAGATACAATATGAATTTGATTTGGTTTGGCATCTCAAAAGGAAATCATAAGTAGTATTACATATAGGTTGTTTACTTGCTCTTGTTATTTAAGGCATCTCATTGTCGCAATGGTCTTTTGAATAATGTATTGTTTTTTTTTTTTTTTTTGTGGGTTGATGAGCAACATTTGAAGTTAGAGATGCTTTTCATTGTTAACAAAATACCTCTAAAGTTTATTCGAGAAATATTTCAAGACATCGGTTATTTTCTACTATTAATTATTATTATAGATGCTCGAGTTGATGAGTACTATTTGGTTACCGTAAAACTCTAAAAGATATGTAAGTTTACAATTTAGTCACTATTAAAAGTACTATTCATTTATACACATATTATTGTGGATAAAGACTTTAAATTACCATTATAAAACAAACTAAAGTAAAACATAGTTTTACTATCCATTTCACTATTTGAAACACTATCCACACACTTATAAATTATTATTCACATACTCACAAATCATTATTCCTTTCATTATTGATGTCAATTTTTTTAACACTTTGGTCCTTAATTTTTCTATACATTTTTTTTTAATTTCAAACTTTAATTTTATTATGATTTGGTCCCATTTTATTTTAATATTTTATTTTAATTATTTTTATTATTTAGAATTTACTACTTTAATTTGTCCTTTTTTAATATAGTCATATGTTATTAATATTATGATCATATTATAATATTATTATTTTTCTACACTAAGCATTTACTATTTATTTATTTTATTTTGAATTAAATAATTAAAATAATGTTTTGGCTCAACCACTCAATGATTCAAATTAATATAGTTTTTTATTTTAATATTATTCATTCTTTTGTAAATAAATATATAAAAATTAAATTTATATTTTTTTAAAAAATCGATATTCTCATCAAAATTAAATAAAAAATATTTATTCAACTCTATGTAAGCTTTTAATAATTGTTATTTATGTTTTTTGATGCGATCTTATGAAAGACTAAAGTTTTTTTTTAAAAAATTATTTATTTTTCTTTTTAGTTAATAATCCATGAATTAACAAGGATAAATTTTTTTTCTAAAGGAAAAATTATGAAAAACACAAATAAGAAATAGTTAAATACAAAATTTTTGATTAAAAAATTATAATAATATTATTTTCTACACTAAGCATTTACTATTTATTTATTTATTTATTTTTGAATTAAATAATTAAAATAATATTTTGGCTTGACCACTCAATGATTCAAATTAATATAGTTTTTTATTTTAATATTATTCATTCTTTGTAAATAAATATATAAAAATTAAACCGATATTTTTTCAAAAATCGATATTCTCATCAAAATTAAATAAAAAAATTATTTGTTCAATTCTATGTGAGCTTTTAATAATTGTTATTTATGTTTTTTTGACACAATCTTATGAAATACTAAAGCTTTTTTGTAAAAAAAATTATTTAATTTTCTTTTTAGTTAATAATCCATGGATTAACAAAGATAAATCCTTTTTTAAAAGGAAAAATTATGAAAAAGACAAATAAGAAATAGTTAAATATAAAATTTTTGATTAAAAAATTATAAATAATTTTTTCATTTTTGATTTCATATATTTTTATAAATTCACATCATAAAAAAGACTAGTAAATTGAAATAATTTATCTAAATAATATTATATATTTTATCTAATCCGTAGCATAACGCACACAAAAAAACTAGTTCTTTCTATTATTTGTTTTTTTTTTTTTTCTGCCTCAGCCTATTTTATTGGGTTTAATTAGTTTAAAATTGTCTCTCTCCACGTTGAAATAGAAAACAAATTTTCAGTTGGGCTCAACGTCCTTATTTTTTTGCATTAATTTCTTTTATGCCATCGATGGTCTGTGCTTTTACCTATTTGCATATGTTTTTTTTTTTTTTTTCTATCTTTGGCTGTTATTGCCCTTTCTTTTTTCATTTCTTCCTTTCCTTCTTTTGTATGCCATTTAATGCTCACGGTTTGGATTTGTCGCTTTTTTTTCTTTCCTTTCTCAATCGGTCATGTTTTAGGTGGCAGGGCCTCGGAAAATCTAACAGATCTTATGCTCACTCACTCACTCACTCCCTCTCTCCTTTCTACAACATCTCTTCCTTTTTCTTTCTTTCATTCTTCGGATCGAAAGGAAACAAACTGAGATAATGGATGGTCTAATCAATGGCCTCATGGACATGGTGCTCGACCAGCCCGGTCAAAAAGACGATGAGTCGCACAATGAATGATCCAGATCATTCCAGGCTTGGGTAATCAGCACTGTGTCTATTTCTATCCTTTATTTCGTTGCAATATTTGTTTTGATTAGTGTTTTATTGCTAAAATGCAAAGGTCGTATCGGGTGAGGAGCAAGAGATGACGATCGTCAGAGCAGTAACCGATGCAAGGTTATAATCAGACCAATCAGTGGGAATCACATGTTTTTCTTTTTATTTGAATTTTGAAATTGAACAATTAAAATGTGTAATTTGTATGAGATTGGAGGATTGTTTATTAGTTTTTTCTTCACTATTGCGAGAGTGAAGGAAGAAGAAATGAGGAGTGGCAAACTGAGGGTTCTAGACCTTCAAGGCGACCCCAAAAGGTTGTTTTCATGTTTTTACTTTAGTTTTTTTTTTTTTTTTTGGTATATTAATTTCATATTTTTAAGTTTGAAGATGGCTATTTGGATGGACAAGTTACCCTCAAGATAAAAAAATATGAAAATGATAGTGAATAGTGAATTTAATTCATGAGTGAAAAGCAGGATGGATAATCGATCTATGTGAAAAGATCAATCAGAGAATGACAAGCTTTTTCCATACAAGCCAATTCTTATGGTAACAGTAAAAGAATTGTGGCTAAGAAAACAATAATGATGTTACATGAAACCATTATAAGATTAATCTGCCTTTTATTTAATCTAACTTGACGTTTTTCTGTATTGATTGATTACATAGGCCATGAATGAAGGATATGAAAGAGATGAAGGTGAAGAGTAACATGATTACAGCCAGAGCATGTAGAATAGAAAGGTTGGTTACTGGATTTTCTATTTCTTTGACTTACTTGAATATCATGAGATCGGGTAACTTAAATTCATAACATTATTTTCTTATCTTTAGTTTGATCACACAGGAGGATGGAGAGGAGAGTAATGATAGTTGAGAGATCGTGGGAAAAAATTATCCTAAACAACCATATAAGGTATACATTTCAAAAGACACACGACAATATAACTGTTAGCAATGTTTTGTACGTAATGACCAACAACAAACATAATGTATTTCTCTTAAGTATATTGCCATGTGCCTTTTGATATATAATTACTGTATTGGTTACCGTTAATTTAAGATTTTTAGCTTGGACTCGGTTGCTCTAAAAAAATTTCTTTTGTCTAAGAGACACAAAAGTGGCCAATTTGTCCAAAGTTTGATCAAGGAAGGGTGTGTGATATTGATACAGCACAAAATATTATTTGGGACTAACCAGACAAACAATCAGCAATGTGTTCTTTATCTTTAGGCATCTAAACCAATAACACTTGCTGGGGAAATCGTTCCCCCATGCTTTTGCTTTTATGTATTTTCTAATGTATTACCTTTGAACTTCTTAATCTATATAAAATGCCTTTTTAATAAAATAACTCTACGTTTGTCTGCTCAAATTCTATTCGCCGCATGCAACACCGTCGCATGATTAATTGTTAACAAATAAGATTGTGTCAAACCACGCATTAATATAACAATTAATTAATTGCATCCTTATTCCAACATTTTTTTTAGCTTTGTATCGTTATTTTCATAATTCAATTATTCCATGCAAAACAAACCCACCGTGTCCCTGTTTATTTTTTCGCAAACAAATTCAGCACAATCACCGGGCGCTTCACAGTAAAGTACAGGTTACAATCTAGTACTAGCTAAAAAGAAAACAAGAATATTGAAAAGATAAATAATAATAAGATAGAAACAAACGAACCGAAAGTGAACTCATCCTTGAAAGACTTCTCCCCATTATTGTTGTTTTTTCTCACTCGATTACAGAGATATATAAAAGATGATGAGGATAAAGCAGCCAAGATGATGATTACATGGTCGAAGAGAAGCACCATAAAGAACCAGTTGGTATTAAGAAATAATAACTAATATTTCAATAATTAAATTGTAAGAAGAAATTCTCATATGCGGGGATAGCTCAGTTGGGAGAGCGTCAGACTGAAGATCTGAAGGTCGCGTGTTCGATCCACGCTCACCGCATTTACTTTTCTTTGATTTACTTTTTGTGTTTTGGTCTAGTTTAAGTTCAAGCCCGGCCCACAACACGTTCAGCTTCTTTCTTTAAAACAAGTCCGTTTACGATTTTTACGCCCCGCTCAGCAAACAATACACAGGCACAGCAGCTGCCATGGAAGAGGAGCAGCAGCGGCAGCAGAAACAGAGCAAATGGAAACTAGAGAGACGGCAATACCTAGGCGAAATATCAGCTCTCTGTTTCCTCCACCCTCCTTCTAATCTCTTTTCTCTCCCTTTCCTCCTCGCTGGTACTCTCTATCTTTTTTCTTTTTAACTCGAGCTCGTTTTCTATCGTTCACTTCATTACAGTCTCAATTCTGTATAGATTTTCGGTAGTTGTAACATTGTTTCTTATGTGAATGTAAAACAGGCACGGGATCGCAACTGCTGCTATATAATTTAGAATCAGGAAATATAATAGAATCTTTTCAAGTTTTCGATGGAATTCGTGTCCACGGAATTACTTGTAGCTTCAATGAAGAAGAATCTTCGCCTTTTCCTTCGTCAACTGTTTCTTTCAAAATTGCTGTCTTCGGTGAAAAAAGAGTCAAGCTTTTCAACTTACACATTCAAACTCATTCACGAGCGAATGCTGATTTAGCCTTGATTCATTGCTTGCCCAAGTTCACCTATTGGGTCTTGGATGTTTCCTTCTTCAAGGCAACTAGCTTTTCTTTTTAAACATTCATTGACATTACTCTATCTTAAAATAGTGTCGTTCCTTGTTAATTTGTTTCTTGAATTGGTAATAGAACTATGCAGTCTCTTCAAATGAGGATGGGAGACACTGCCTTGCTATTGGATGCAGTGATAACTCTGTCCATCTCTGGGATACGTCAGTGTCTAGTGTAATTCTTCAAGTACAGTCTCCAGGTTAGTTTTTCCAAAATTATTGCCTATGTGGTTGACTTTTTTTTTTTTTTTTTTTTTTTCACTTGTTCTTATGTGTTTCGATATTTTGAGGAATTGTAGAGAGGTGTCTCTTGTATTCCATGCGGTTATGGGGTAACAATTTGGAAACTCTAAGAATTGCTTCTGGTACCATATTCAATGAGGTGCCTAATCTTTCCTTGTATATGTAACGACACTAGCTCTTGATCGTTGAAATTGTGACGGTTCCTTCCATTTGACTGATTGAGTTGTGTTTTCTCTTTGATTGGGTTAGGGTAGATCATTGTTTGGAAAGTGGTTCCTGTAGGACCTCAATGTGGCGATCCACTTTTGACAAGTCCCTTGGACGGTGACATGTGTCCGACCTGTTCGTTGGCCGACTCTTTCCAGCTTCGTTTTCAGCAGCACAAATTTTCTCATATATGCAGACTTATTGGACATGAAGGTTCAATATTTCGCATGGCATGGTCCTCAGATGGATCCAAACTGGTTTCTGTTTCTGATGATCGCAGGTGAAGAAGTTTTTAAATTCTTACAAGCTCTATTTCTATTTTGTGAAATGGTTCGATGCAATAATACAGTTTCTTTATTGGTACAGTGCTCGTATCTGGGCTGTTAGGGATGAGCCAAAAGATTCAGATAACAAAGAGGAGGTTGCTGGCCCAGTTCTATTTGGTCATAATGCTAGAGTTTGGGATTGCTGTATCTGTGATTCTGTAAGTCCTATAATATCCAGATTCACCTATTGTTTTCATATGATAACCTTCCTGGTTAAAAAAATATTTAAATGGAAGGAATGAACATTCTGAACTTCAATTGAAAGTCCTTAAGAATTTCATTAGTTGATTCCTGATTCTTGTCCCTTTCTTTCTATCAGCAAGCAATTCATGTGCACTGGGTCTTCAATATTTATTTTCTTAAATCCATCTTGCTCTACTTTTCCAGTGTATACATCAGTTAAATGGATGCTGGCAGTTAGCATGAGAGTAGAGTTTTTTTATCATGCCCAAAAGGGAGGTTGGAGTAAAGTTGATAAATTCTCTTTGAATGAGAATGGGATAGTCACAATTGATAATTAATTAACTTCAACAGTCAAGCAATAAAGCATGAATGCCAGTGACGACAAGTATTTTAATCCATCTTTTATTTATTTCCAGTTGAAAAATTCTTCCATCATCATTCACATGCATTGGTGAATGCATCAGTAGCTTCATGTCTCACTGCTTTGAAATTGACTTCAAGCCAATCTTAGCTAGAAATGTGGTCCTTTGATTTTCTGCAAGCATGAGCCAATTGGAAGTAGATTTAGATACAAGTTTGTTTTTTTGGCAGATACATCTCTAATTAACTTGAGGGCCTCTTTCATTTGTAAATAATTTCTGCACAAGTGTGGAGTCCATGTTCATGATAGGGCATCCATACTAGGGGCCTTTGGCTGATTTGATAGTCTTTTCCTTTGTGGCAATCTGCACTGAATGGCATCACATGAAGGGACTGATGCCACTGTACCACATCCATTTTTAGCTGGGCGTGTAAATTAATTTGGCATCCTTTTTTCTTTTCTGCTGGGAACATGAACTATAGGATTGGAGTTGACTCTTTCTTCCATCTATTCTCTTAGTTAATTGTCACTGCTGGTGAGGATTGTACATGTCGTATATGGAAATTGGATGGCAAACAGCTCAAGATGATTAAGGAGCACGTGTAAGTTGCAGTATTTATTTTTCTTCAAATTCTGTAGCTGTGCCCTATGTTTTTGCATAGTTTTGAAGTCACAAATTTAACTGTTTATATTGAGTGCCTACTACCATACAATTGAGCAATTGGAGCCAGCATTGTCATAATGCCAACATAAAAAATAATATTTCATTCTTAATCTCTCAAAACACAGGTTTTTTGCTGGTCCTGTAGAAATTCACTATCTAACCGTGTGAATTCTTGGTTGTTCATATACAGAGGAAGGGGTGTATGGCGTTGTTTGTATGATCCAACCTCGTCACTTCTCATTACTGCCGGATTTGACTCTTCAATCAAAGTGCATCAAGTGTCTGCTTCTTTTTCCCAGAGCTTGGAAGGACAAACTGTATCAAAACCATTCACTGATAGAATGGAGATGTTCACTTGTCGAATTCCAAATTTATCTGCATATATTGGTTTCATGGACAGGTAATTTACTTTTAATATCAGAACTTCTTCAAATCATCAGTTTATAATCAATTTATGATATATTAAGAACACTAAAACTGGAGGAGCCTGTTCACTGTAGATTGTTGTAGCTTAGCTATGGTGGTTTTGGCAAAGTAAAATGACCATGTTGTCTCCATTTTATTTGCTTATTGTGGGTGTTTGTAATCAGTTGTGGTGCTGATTTCAGAGATATTTGTCATTAACTGGCCAGGGCTGTTGCTGGTCAAAGTTGCTGATGGGTTTTTTGGTTATTTTTACCGTTTTGCCCCTTTTTTTTTCCTATCCATTACATTTTTAGAGAGAGAAAATTCTTTAATGCCCTTCACTTTAGTGTTCAAACCAAGGGGTAATCGGTAAATTAGCAGGCTATGCTAGTTTGGTTTTAGTGCTGGTTCCAAGTTCCAACTTGATTTTGTTTCACATTTGAAGAAAAAAACTCCAAAATCCTCATGAACTTGTAATATTCATTAATTGACGTACATAATGTGTTTATTTATTTTTTAGGGTCCTTGCTTTCTTATAATTTGATGTTGCCATTCTTGGAACTACTTGAGAGCTTGTTACACAGTTTTGGGAGAACTTAATACTTTGATTCAACAAATTATAGCTCTTGCTTATTCCCTTTTTGTCCTTTTGGTTTTGTTTCACAATATAAACCTGCAGCATCGTGTGGGTAGGCCTACTGGTTACCTGCTATTTACTAATCTAAATGAATATAATGAGGCTCTTCCTACCCAATATTTTTCTCATGTAGGTTTTCCCTGGGACTGAGAGGTTGGGGAAGGGTTTGCACCCATTAGTATACTAACCTGAGATCAGTCATCTCATTTTATTGTTCTTTAAAGAGGCCAAAAAGAATTGGTTGAATTGGAATGACAATAACTAGATAGTGATGGAAATTCCTCTGGGGGTTTTGGGGAATCTCCAATGTCAAACCCAACAAATGTTGGCTCACATGCCTTCATACTCCTTTATGCCATAAATTTCATCATGGTTTACCGGTGTCTTCATTATTTGTTATCCTTTTCATCTCATATAATGTTCATCTTTGCTTGAAATGTTGGCTCTTTTTATTGCAGCAAAAGTGAATATGTACGTTGCTTGCATTTCACATGTGAAGATACTCTATACGTTGCGACAAACAATGGCTATCTGTACCATGTGAGATTATTTGGAACCAAGGATGTAAAATGGACAAAGCTATCCCAGCTCAGTGAAGAGGTGCCAATTGTTTGTATGGATTTGCTGTCCAAAACCTTGCCTGAACATTCCAATGGAATTGATGACTGGGTTGCTTTAGGAGATGGGAAAGGAAACATGACAATCGTTAGAGTTATGGGTGATGTTTTCACTCCTGAAGTGGACTTCATCTTTACCTGGTCAGCCGGAAAAGAGAGACAACTATTAGGAACCTATTGGTGCAAGGCACTGGGATGTAGGTAATGACTACTGTTTGTGCTATTGTGCTAAAAGTGTTTGATACGTCTTTGGGTATCCTTTCTCTGAGCAGTACAGGGGTAACATACAAAAGGGGCAGGATTTATATCTCTGTTACAATTACTAAATCAACAACCAGAGACATTTTTTTCATCTTGCTAATGCTTTGAAAGCTTTTTATAATGTAGTGATTTTTCATTTGGTTTGTCTGCCATAAATATAAAGGCAATATTTATAGAAAACAAAAAAGACGACACTTGAATGATACCTAGTCTTATATCATATTAAATGATGCTTTCTGCTGGCAATTTTGAAATGCTTGCCAGGATGCCTTTGCGTTATAAGCCGGAAATTTCATTGTTCTTGCTTTGTTATTTTTTTTTTGGTTTCATCTTTCTTTATTATTCACCTTAAATGATCAACAATCTCTGGTATACAGGTTCATTTTTACTGCCGATCCTAGAGGAATTTTGAAGTTATGGAGGTTAGGTGATTTTTTACCATCTGGTTCTCTCACTTCTGGAACTTTTGATGCATCCCTTATAGCAGAATTCACATCGTGTTTTGGAATGCGGATCATGTGTCTAGACGTGTTATTTGAGGATGAGGTACCTACTCTCTCTTGCGGGTGTGCTCGCTCTCATGCCTGCTCACTCTTGTGCCTGGATGTGTTGCTGTGTATACATTTCTGTTTATTCTGGTGTCTTATCTTGCGAATTTTTGCGAAAACATCTACAGAACTTTTGAGGCATAAGAAGATAAATGATAACTTTTTCTTACTTGCAAAGAGAGAAAGTAGAGCCTTTTTTATTTTGATTTTATTTTTGACTTTAGGGGATTTTAGTTTATTAAACATAAGCCTAAAAGCTATTAAAATTCTGGATATTTATTGCTTGAAAATGATATTTAACTTCATTTGCTTCATGACGTGTAATTGATTTCTGAATGTTCATATGGCATCTCACATGCTGTTTTGCTTATTATGGTTGAATGTAGGTGCTAATATGTGGGGATCTGCGTGGTAATCTGGTTCTATTCCCTTTGTCAAAGGGATTGCTGCTGGACAGAACTACTGTATCAGAAATAAAAATATCACAATTATGTTATTTTAAAGGAGCTCATGGAATATCAACTGTATCCAGCATTTCTGTTGCTAAATTGAGTTCGGATGAGATTGAAATACGCTCGGTATGATCTAAATTCAAGTGTTCAAATGTATAATCATCTTTTGAGTATTGGCTGATGATGATGGATTGCTATGATACTTTATGTGTACATTTCCTGTGTTCACAAAGAAAGAAAAATAATTAATTTGTTAGGAAAGAAACGTGTACATAATTAAATTGGGGAAAAAGTTCATAATATGCTCCTGTTTCCATGACAACAAATATGGCAATTCTTGGCATGAAACATTCTAAATTTTTTAAAGCATGGCATAACATGTGATGGAGAGAGAAGTATGCTTGCACATGCTTGCAAGTTTGATGTTTACTTGTTTGCAAATGCATACTCCAGGACTTCCATGTATTACGATTTTTCCATTCCATTCTCTTTTCAGACTGGAGGCGATGGATGCATATGCTATTTAGAATATGACCATGACCGGCGAGGTTTAGAATTTATTGGGATGAAACAAGTAAAAGAGTTGAGTCTGATTCAATCTGTTTCTGCTGATAACAAGTCCCTTGATGATTTGGCTAACTGTGGATATGCAATTGGTTTTGCATCAACAGATTTCATAATCTGGAATTTAATAAGTGAGGCAAAGGTAGTTGCTCTCTGTCACTTATTCATCACATCGCACCCTATGTAGATACTGAAACATTTGTTTGGTGCCTACTGATGCTTGGAGCAGGTTGTGCAAATTCCATGCGGTGGATGGCGACGTCCTCATTCTTATTATCTTGGAGATGTACCAGAGGCAATGAACTGTTTTGCATATGTCAAGGTACATTTTGTTTTCCATCAGTTCAATCCATTCCATCTGAAGCTTTAGTGAACAGGTTTATGGTCTCATAACAGTTGGTACTGCTATGTTATGGACTTGCAGGTGATGAGATTGGACCACTGTGTGGTTGGGTAATCTATGCAAGTAGTTTACTGTATGAAGTGGTTTTGTGTGACAGTGATAATTCTTTTGAAGTATTGGCAAATATGCTGCAAACATTATATAATTAGTATCACCAATGAGGTTGCATAGGTGCCAACTGTCAAGTGAGGTACAGAGTTAGCATAGTTAACCAGATTCTCCAGGAGAGACGGTTTAGAAATTAGGACTGTGTAAGTGATTTTTTGCCTCAGCTAGCTAGTATTCAAAAAATATATTGATGTACCACTTAAATGAGATTGTGAAGAACCATCTTCCTTCCTCATTTTGCTTGAGAAGGTAAAATATATCTTAAACATTGATAAGGAACTTTGGTGGCAATACTTTTCATTCACCTTCATGAGTCATCACCTTTGCATGCAGTCTGTGCTAGAAAATGCTGTTTAGCAATCTAAATAATATATGTTACCATCCCTTTGTTTTTGCTTGTTTTCTTGATATCTTTCTTTTGATGGAACTACACTTAAGCACTTTTATTTCATATATTATGTGCATTTAGTATCTTCCAGACTCCTAGAGCCTGCCAATGCTGCAAAATCTGATACAACTCCACAAACCTGGCTGTGGAATGACTTTTGATACGTATTGATTATTGAAAGCTTGATTTCAGAACCGAGTGACACTGTCGTACTCAAGTGTTTCCGAATGCATATTGTTTCTGTGTCTCATATATTCATTTCTTTTTGCTCTCAGGATGAGGTAATCTATATTCATCGACAATGGGTACCAGAAAGGGAGAGGAAGATATTTCCCAAGAATTTGCACATCCAGTTTCATGGGAGAGAGATGCACTCCTTATGCTTTGTTTCTAAACATGCACTAGTTGAGGCAAATGGGAAGCATATTCAGTTTGATAAATCTAGTTGGATTGCTACCGGGTGTGAAGATGGAACTGTGAGGCTGACTAGGTATGCTGGTAATTAGTTGCCATTTGAATTGAAATCAAGTGACTTTTTAATGACATTGTTGATGGTGGGCCCCAAGAACACGTGTGCCTCCACTTATGCATATTTGGAGTGTTAATCTCTTCTATCCCTCCAGTATTTCATTTCTTCCCCACCCTCAATCTCCACTTTTTCATTCGTTTTGATTGTCCCAATGCTTTCTGTTAATTGGAATTATACACAGGCAGCTAATTTTGTGATTGGAGTAGGTATATGCCTGGAATTGAGGGCTGGGTTACATCAAAATTGCTTGGTGAGCATGTTGGTGGATCAGCTGTGAGATCAATATGCTCAGTGTCGAAGATGCACATAATTGCCTCGGATGTGACCAACTTGTCAGATTGGAGAAAGATACAAAATACTAGTGCTGGGGACATAGATAATCCTTTTTTGTTGATCTCGGTTGGGGCAAAGCGGGTGCTAACTTCTTGGCTACTGAGAGATAGGAAGCTAGACAAGGAACATTCACTTTTTGAACAAGAAAACATTGAAAATGGAAATGGCTATATGCCTCCGTCTGGAGTATCCTCATCGATGTCTTTCAAATGGCTATCCACAGACATGCCTCCCAAATATTCCAGTGCTCATGGAAAAACAAAAGGACTTGAGAAAATACGAGGAATAACCAAATATGTTGATATGAATACTGATGCAACATCTAGACCATTTTTACTGGAGAAGGGAGAGAGAGAATCAAAAAGTTCCCATGATGATAAATATGAAGATGACTGGAGATACCTAGCTGTTACTGCATTTCTGGTGAAGTGTGCTGGTTCCAGGTGAGATGGGACAGCTTTGATCTTTGCAATGATTTTATCTTGGCATTGACTTATCCAAATACAATGAATAATGCTTCTATCTTTTTCCTTCAGGTTGACTGTCTGTTTTGTTGTTGTTGCTTGTTCAGATGCAACACTTACATTACGAGCTCTTGTTTTACCACACCGGTTATGGTAATTCATGACTTCAAGTGACCATTAGTTGGTGCTTCTAAATTTTTTTTAATTTAGTTTGTTCTTGTTCCTACTGGGAATTCATTTTTTCTTCTTCCTTGCAGGTTTGACGTGGCTTTGTTGGTTCCTCTATCATCACCTGTTTTAACATTGCAGCATGTCATCATTCCTGGTAGTTTGCCTTCTGAAGGTTAATTCTTTGACTTGCTTAATTACTGCTGGAACTTGCATAAATAAGTTTCATTAAACCCTCTGTCTACCGAATTAATATATTTTGGTATTTATGGTATTGTAATGCCAAATTCTCTTACTTGGAATTATTAATTTCTCCTTTTTCACAGAGAAAATTCATGTCGGAAGTGTTTATATTGTGATCAGTGGAGCTACTGATGGAAGTATTGCCTTCTGGGATCTAACTGATAATATTGAGGCTTTTGTTCAGCGTTTATCATCTCTGAACATAGACAGGTCCTTAAATTGTCAAACACGGCCACGCACTGGAAGAGGAAGTCAGGGCGGACGATGGTGGAGAACATTAAGCAATAGCGTGCCTAAAAACAGACTAGGTGATGGTTTAGTTGCAATAAAAGCTGGAGAGAGCACCAACAATCATCCTATGAATGGAGCATCAACAACAAATGATGCCAAAAGCCATACAACTGTCTATTCTCAAGCTGTAGAAAACGCTCCCCATGAACCAGAAGCAAATAGTCCAGGGACATGTGAAATATGGCCTTTCCATGTCTTCAATAATGTTCACCAATCTGGGGTCAACTCTCTCCATATTTCAGACGTGCACAATTGTCAAAGTTCTGAAAGTGGTTTTGTATTCAGTGTAGTAAGTGGAGGAGATGATCAAGCACTCCACTGTCTTAAATTTGATTTGTCATTGTTATCAACAGGCAAGGATTCTGAGATTGTGACATCAGATGTCATCGATTTATTCCCCAAGTCTAAAAGCATGAATAATCCTTGTAGACAAAGCCAGACTAAAAAGTACAGGATCAAATTTTTATATCATGACAGAATCCCTTCTGCTCATAGCTCTGCCATAAAAGGTAAAAATAGTTATTACTACTTCAAACTAGGGAAGTTTGTGTCATAATTTCACTAATGTCTTTGATCTCATTTTCCTAGCTGTTTCCAATGTTGTTACTAAATATTTGCTAAGGACACATCCCCTCGTTAGTTGCCGGTGATTTATTGAACACCATAATGACTGGCTAGTCTGTGTTTTTACATGGGTATAGAAGGATTCATAGTTTCTTTCCTTTCTGTAAAATCTTGATTTGTATATTCTGATAATAGTATTTTTCTGGCAGGACAAATATGAACCAAATGAAAATTTTGAGCAAGGTCTTTTGTAGATATGAAGTCTTGAATGCATCTGTTGTGGCGACTGACTGATTGAAATTGGTTTTATTTTATGAAGGTGTTTGGACAGATGGCTTGTGGGTGTTTTCCACTGGTCTTGATCAGCGCATCAGATGCTGGCTTCTTCAGGATGATAGTAAATTAGTTGAGCAAGCTCATCTGATCATTAGTGTTCCAGAGCCAGAAGCACTGCATGCGAGAGCCTTTGGCAGGTGAGCATTGCCAGTGATGTGCATCACAGCTATCAGCATAAATATTTCAGAGTTATAATTCTGATTTATAATGTGATTTTTCTACGTGTTTGTCTTATTCAGGAACCACTATGAAATTGCTGTGGCTGGAAGAGGAATGCAAATGGTTGAGTTCTCTGCATCTTAGGCCATGGGTGGGAGAGATACGAGTGATTTTTGCAATGGTGTCCCTTCAGACCATAAAATTTTGTACAATGGTACTCTGATTGTCTTAGTATCACCAGGTGCGCCTTATAGTCTCCTACTCTCTAACGCTCATTCTTGACATGCTGAACCAGCGAGCAGTCTTCAACACCCAAAAGCACACATTGGGGAACCAATCTTTGAGAAAATGGTTGTTTGCAAAATGAGGTTTGTAGCCTGGTTTACAATTTGCGTCCACCCTCATTAAGAGAATGGCAGCAACAAAATCCCATTGGTCCATGCCATATCAAAACTAAAATTAGGACCAGTGTCTATCCGGGTTTTACTTGTGTATCAAACCAGTTTGTTATTTGATATTTGGTCTCATTTTTAAGTTTGGAACTCCTTTGGATGCGGCATTTTGAACCATTGAATTCAGTAAATTCTTGCAAAAACAAATACTAAAAGCTTATGTTACACGACAAGTATTCTTTGCCGGATTCGGATCTCCAACACTATATTGTATATGTGGTATTTTGAATCATTGAATTCGAGTAAAGTCTTGACATCTCTAACAATACATTATGGTTAAGTTCACTTCCCGGATACAAAGTTGGTGGCATAAGCCTAGGCATTGTTGTTCACGGGGTCGATAAGATGGTCGGCCGGGTTCTCTATTGGTCCCTTCTTAGTCACAATAGCCAGCACAAAGAACCCAAACATGGAGAACATGGCAAGTCTCCCATTCTTGATTTCTTTAACTTTAAGCTCTATAAATGCCTTTGGATCATCAGCAAGCCCCAAGGGATCAAAGTTGCCACTTGGGTATACGGGGTCGGTGACCTCACCGAGAGGTCCTCCCGCAATGCGGTAACCCTCGACAAGCACCCAAGAGGAGCACATGAGTTGCCCATATGGCTAAAATGCCTTGAGCATGGATCAGTCGGGGTTTCCCAAATAGTCAAGACCACCCTCGTTAAAGATTGAGAACCGACCTTGAACCACACCGGCTTACCAAACTTGGCTCCATTCCCGGCAAGAAGCTCAAGGAAGACACATCCCAAAGCTCCAAGCATTGACCACCTAACATGAATAACCTTAAGCTCCCGGTTTTTGGCAAAAGTTTCGAGATCCGCTAACGACCTCGTAGGGTCCCAACCATAGTCACCGGGAAATTCACCAGTCAAGTAAGATGGAGGCTCGCCGGAGATTGGTCCAAGGTACTTGACACGATCGGGACCATACCAAGAGCTCCCGAAGCAGTTGCCTTTCCAGCGAGTCTTCCTCATGGAGACTCTGCCATTGCCGTTGTGGGTGGTTGATGAAAACTCGGTGACTCCATTCAAAGGAACGGCTTTGCTTGCGAAAGTGGATGACGGAGTCATGGTTGCCATGCTTCATGTTTTAAGTAGAGGGTGAAGTGACTGCTCGTTGTCCTTGTGAGTTTGGCTAGGAGAGGATGAATGTGAGATACGAAAGTCACTCTTTTATAGGGTCTAGTAAGGGCCACAATCCTATCCATGTGGGATCTTCCTCTTTCTCCTCATTGGTCGATGAGTTGATTGTAGGCATGCAAAAATCCTACACCCCTCCCGGCCAATTGTGAAGGCTAGGATGGATTTTGCTCAAATAATTGAGAAATATGCACAACCTAATCCAAATTTATCCATGTGGTCCTTGCTCGCAAGTTAGATTATATTCTATAATCATATATAACGAACTCGAGACGGTAGCCTTTTTTCGCACTCATATCATGCCCTCGCAAGCCACTTGTTTTCTTGCTTCTTTTTTGGTTAATGTTTTTTACACGACAATTGGAATGGTCTATGTATTGTATTATGAAGCTTTCACCTAAGACATGAAGACCTTCTTTGGTGAATGACCAGTTTTTATTATTTATTTATTTATTTATTATTTATTATTTTTGGATTGAAGTGTTATCCTATATGTATATATATAAAGTATCATTCTCCACGTGAAAAGAGTTCGAGTAGCCAACAAGCTATGATTCATTTGATATAAGTGTCGCTCTTCCTAAAGAGTCTCAAGTTCAAATCTATATTTTGTAAATTTAAAAAAAAAAAAAAATCCAAAATTAACCTTTTGGTCCATTGATCCTACCAAATAATAAGAAAATCGTACAAAAATTGGAATTATGCACATATATACATATATATGGTTATAAATTCTTATATTTTTTTTAAATGAAAAATTTATCATTATACGATCCAATAAATTATAAATTAGTTATCAAAAAACTTATAGCCTAATGGTAGTAGTCTCTTACAACAAGAGATCACACATTCAAATCTTAACAAACTAGTTCTACTAGGAGATTTAGGTATGTGAGTTAAAAAAATTAGAAATAAGTTTATTTATTATTAAGAAAGGAATTAATTAGTTTCTCTTATTTTAAAAACAAATTATTTAGCTTTTTAACTAGTGTTGAATATGTTTAATATAATATTATTTTATTATAAAAAAAGTCTTTTTAATATCTATTTATTTTCTTTTTTCTATTTTTTTTAAAAAAATTAAAAATAACATAAAAGAAGCAAGAAGAATTAATAATTAAATTTATTTTTTGATATATTGAGAAATTTTATAATACACGAGGAGTAAAAAGTTGATCGGTGTTTACCAAAATGAGTCTACGAAATAAAGTTGATTGATAGTACTCAGTGTCCTTTGTTTGAAATGTTGTTGGGGCTGCAAATATATAAGGCATCATTAATTTAAAATATAATCCTCAAATTTGGTATATCAGAGGAGAGATTAGGTTAATGGCCTATTTGGTCTTTGAAATTATCAAGAGGTTAAATCCCAGTCCTTTTAATTTGGGGCGCAGTAGATGTTTAGGGCTCCCAATACCCCATTTCTGCTTTAACGTTATGTTTGAAATTAATGATACAAACTTATTAGCATTTTTGTGTTTTGTAATCTGTTGGCTTGTACATGTGGATCTTCTTTCTGATTCAGAGTTGTTTCCAAATGTCTTTTTTTTGAACATCTCAAAGAAGATGTTGAGACAGATAAAGTGGAATAGAAAAAAAGAGCAGTTCACGGGAATCATCCTGAAGGAACCTGCGAAGATACTGTAAAACCTTATTCCCGCAATTTTTTTTTAAAGTGCAGACCAAACTAGTTTTAATACATATGTACCAAAATGATTTATGACATGTCAGCTGAGGTTTCCATAATAAGGAATAACTTATTGATTATTAATAATTATTTTTTATGTATTATAAAATTTTTTCAGTACATTATCTTAAAACTTAGTCTATTCATCCAAGAGTCCAAAATATATACATCAAGCTCTATATAAATTGCATGGGGAAATTAGAAAAATTAATCAAGGAGATTTATATATATATAAAAAAAACAGATTAAAAAAAAAAGTCAATTAAACACAATACAAGAAGAACAAACTAAATCAAGAAACGATTTACCACTGGTCTTCTTTTATCTCTTTACTCTCCCATGCATTCTTAGTCTCCCTATCTCTTATTTTATGAATCTTCTTTAAACAATTTCCAAACAAAATTATATTAAATTCCACAAAGTCAAATTAACAAAATCCCATGTTATAGATCCAAACAAAATCAAACCCGATTGTACAAAAGACTCCATGTGTGCAACAAGTGCCAGTACATAATATATATATATGACAACCTTTTCTTCTTGTATATATATGTATAATAATATTAGAGATTGACAATCAATTTATCATGGATTTTTTACTTTCGAGTTAAAAAATCTCACTTGGTGGATTTAATAGTATATTTGGTTCTTGTATTTTAGACTTTTTATTTACATAATTTCTTTGCTATTTTTTTTTATTTAGTTGGTCCTTCTATTTTTTTTTTAAATGCATTCCATCAGCCACCTTCATTTTAATTTATCTTTAATTCTTAAAAATATTCCAAAAAAAAATTGACACACGTCTGGAAAATTTCAGAATCCATGCCATTTATTAAGAATTAACAATAAATTAAACTAAAAAAACCACATTAAGTTTTTTTTTCTTTAAAATAGAAGGACCAAATAAATAAAAAAATAATGAAAAAAAAAAAGAAACCACATTAAAAAAACATATAAAAAAAAATACAAGAACCGAATATGCCATTAATCATTTTCCTTACTATAGTAATTAATGAATGTATAAAGTTATAAACATAATTGGATTAATGAAAAATTTTAAAATGCTCAATAAGTAATTAACTACCAATATTTAGTTTATGGATTCTTTTTGAGAAGAGGAAAAAAAAATTTAAACCCATTAAAAGTGATAAGAATGTTTCTAGTTAGGTTTAATTTTTTTTTAATTCTCTCTCATAGTTCTCTCTCTTTCTTATATTTATCTCTCTTCTATAAAGTAATTATCGGCAATTACTTCTTAAATAATATAAAATTTATTTTATTATACAACTATTTTAAAGATAAGTGTGCAATAAAAAAATCATTATTGAAAAAAAAAGTGCCTTCTCCTGAAAAAGAGACATTATTATTCAAAAATGTAGTTTACACAATCACCCACGCTCTCTCATCAAACTCACATGCAAACATTGGATGTTGTTAACGATATGTTGTCAACCAATCACTACCAAGAAACTGTCACAACTCAAAACTAATATTAATTATGAGATAATTATACTATAAATATGCCAGTTTTTAGTTTTTTCTCAATGAGTATATAAATTCTAATGTTTTAATTAATTTTTAATTTTTTTATTGAGTGCACCGGAAACTTTCTCAAATTATTCTACCATTCAAAATTTGACCCATAAAAATTTTAAATATTATTTTTTCTTTCATATTTGTTATTTTTTAAATAAATAATAGAATCATTTGGAAGGGAAAATTCTCTCTAACAAAAAGCGAGAGAAAATAATAATTTAGTATTTTAAGAATAATGGATACATTGTCAATCAACGAAAAAATTGATAAAAATACTTAATTGGTAGTTTTAAAAAATCAATATATTTAAACAAAAAAAATTAAAATTCATATATTGGATTAAAACAAAATTAATATTGATATAATTATAGTACAAGCATCCCAATTAATTATCTATATATACATCCTGCTGGTTTTTTTTTAATCTATATTTATAGATATTGATATATTTTTGAACCAATTTTCACATCAATCAAGGTTAAATCTATTATTTTCTAGATTAAGTTTGTGCTAAAACACGTTTAGTTTTTGATCAACTACTGAACTTTCATTTAGACCAAATGAACTTAAACTTGATACTATTAAAAAATTAATTATAGCTAATTATCTATAAATAGTGAGAATTAAATCTTAGTTTTGATCAAATTAAAATAATTTTCTTATCCATTAGAACATATGTTTTTGGTGGTACATTCGGCCCCTAGTCTCTGGGTGTGTGTATACATACTGATTGACATTATCCAGTTGTATAGAAAACAAACTACTGAAACTGAAATAAAGTAAGCATCGGAGTCTGTGATCTGGGCAGTATCCTGCTTCTGGCCTTCTAGCCATAATTTGACATGGAACCAATCTACGTCCATTTCGTAATCATGATAAAATTTGTTGCCACAGCCAATAAAAAGCGATTATGCAATTGCACCTTTAAAGGCCTCAAATTTGAATAATGTTCGCATCATTCCTCCTGTGATAGGATGTCATCTTCTCTTTGAGGAGTCCATAAGTCCATCTATAATTTTAATTTAACTTATTATTGATAAGGATACACCAGCTGCCATGTTTATCTCTAACCCGTGTTTGTCTCTGCCTCTAATCTGTACAGTAGTATAGTTAAAGATGTCTTATTGTTAAGCTTATCAGCTAGAGTCCTTGTTGTTATAGAAGCGGCGTCCTTGTAAATGTAGAAGTCTCCACTTGATACAAGTCTCTGTAAATATAATTTCCAGCTCTGTAAAGTATAAATACAGATGCTTAATGAATGAAATATATACTGGAGCTTATGCAATTCTTCATGGTATCAGAACTTTACGAGGTTTAAAAACCCAGCTCGATCCTCACCACAAAACCTTTCAGTCAAGCACCACAAACTACTGCCATGGCCGAATAAGTTACTGTTCATTCATCTTCCTCACCTGAACCAGTTGCTATTCCTACCCAAATAGTTCCACATCAAAGCCAGCATGCATCCGTTAACACTTCCTACCCCAATATCACCCCACAATTATCCATCAAACTCAATTCAACCAATTATCTGTTATGGAAAACGCAATTGCTGCCATTGTTACGTGGACACAAGCTTGCTCATCACATAGATGGCAGCCTTCCCACCCTTGCTGCAACAGATTTGGCCTATGATGATTGGTATACAGAGGACCAAATTGTACTCAGCTGGATTGTTAGCTCCTTATCCACCAACATCGTTACACAGCTGGTTGGCATTACCACTGCTCGCGCAGCTTGGGATAAATTAGCTTCCATATATGCTGCTGGCTCCAGGACACAAGTGCATCAATTACGCACTAGTTTGATTGAATTATCACAACAAAACTCAGACATTCAAACCTACATGCAACGTGCTAAGGAGCTGTTTGATCGCCTTGCTGCGTTGCAGCACCCAATTCCGGAAGATGACCTCATAGACTATATATTACGAGGTTTGGCACCAGCATATCGCCCATTTGTCCGTAACATTGAAGCCCGACTTGAACCAGTTAAATATGATGATCTGTTCTCCTTGTTTTTGAGTGAAGAAATGCAACTAGCACGCCATGAACACCCAACTGATTCCATACCACCAACGGCACAATTCACTGCCCGTGGGTTCAACTATACCCGTGAAGAGGCCATTACTGTGGGAGAAACAAAGGCATTGGTTATGGAAGATCCCAGTTTTCCTCTCCACCTCATAGATCCCAGTTTACCTCTCCAGACACTACTAATCGTAGTAACGCTGCCCAACCAGTTTGCTCTAACTGCAAGGGCATTGGACACTATGCTAGACAGTGTCCCTCACCCAAGCAGCACCAGGACAAACGTCCCTTCACTCTTTCCCCAAAATATGAGTCCAACTTGGCATCAAAACCAAACAGTCCTACTAGACCATAATCTTGGGTTGTTAACACTGGAGCAACACATCATTTAACAGCAGATATGGACAACCTTGGCATCCACTCCGAGTACACTGGTCCAGAAGAAGTAACCATCAGCAATGGTAAAACACTTCCTATCACTTGCACTGGTTCCTCTATTTTTTCGATCAATAATATCAATTTTTCTCTTGATAATATTCTCCTTGTTCCACAGGCTTCTCATAATTTACTGTTTGTTAGTGCCTTTACCAAATCTAACAATGTTTCTCTTGAATTTTTCCCCACTTATTTTTTGGTCAAAGATATCCACACGAAGCGGGTTTTGCACACCGGGAAGCTTATTGATGGGCTTTATTCAATGCCAATTAATCGTTCTCCGGCTCACTCACCACAAGCCCATTTGAGTTCTTTGTCTACTTGGCATGCTCGCCTTGGTCATGCATCGATCAAAACAGAGTGCAACGAGCACTTCGTCGATCTAGCATTCATGTGTCTACTCAAGACTCTTCATCTCTCTCGTCATGCCCGTAGTGTCGGGAAAATTCACAAGTTACCATTCCCCGAGTCTTCTTTTCAAGCGTCCGGTCCATTAGATTTAGTATGCTCCGACTTGTGGGGCCCATCTCCTATTTCATTTGACTCCGGAAATTATTATTATGTTTTATTCTATGATCACTTTAGCAAGTACTCTTGGGTCTATTTTATTAAATACAAATTTGAGGTTCTAAATTGCTTTATCAAATTTCGTCACCTTGTTGAAATTTTTTTTGATAGACCAGTAAAAGCCTTTCGAGCCGACCGGGGAGGAGAATTTCGAGCCTCACTCCATACTTACGTGACAATGGAATAACCCAACGTAGCTCATGTCCAAAAACTCATGAACAAAATGGGTGTGCTTGAAAGAAAGCATCGTCATATCACCGAAACAGCCGAGCCTTACTACACCATGCCTCATTACCACTCAAATTTTGGGAACTTGCCTTTGCTCGCTGCAAGTATATTCCATTAACCGCTTACCCACACCTCGATTGGCAAACAAAAGCCCATTTGAAACCTTGTTCCATCGGTTACCTAACTATCGGATGCTTCGTATCTTCGGGTGTTTATGCTACTCTTGGCTACGCCCCTACACAAAAAATAAGTTAGAACCTCGGTCACAATGTTGTGTTTTTCTTGGATACGAGTACATTACATAAGGGATACAAATGTCTTGATTTGGCTAATAACAAACTTTATATCTCACGTCATGTTTTATTTGGTTAATAACAAAATGGATAGCAGATTGTTTTTGAGTGAAGAAATGAGCAACACTCCAGGTGTCATTTAACTCCCAAAATGCTATCACCCTACTCATTCCTCCATCACTCAAGACAAATTCCCCATCCACGCCCACAAATGAATCCGAGTAATATACCACTCCACTCACCCGACTCAGCACCAAATATCACACACTCGCCCCAACTCCCCGTCCAAATCACGCCTCACCAAAAAATCCAGCAGACCCACGACCTCTCACCAAGCCCACTCCACCGGATATCATAGGCCCTACATCCCAAACCCAAAGCCATACTCATTTGACTCAACCCAACACGAGCCCAAACCACGTCCACCAATCTGCTATCCATCGGCCCATCAACAACACTACAAACAAAGATTGCCCTCCCATTCGGTTAGAAATAAATCTAACCGGTTACCCATCTTCTTCTCCAAAACGCAAACCGAGCTACCTTCACATCCCATGAAAACTCGATCCCAAACCGGCCACGATAAACCAAAGATCTTTCACGGCCACTTACCCACCGAGCCATCATGTTTCTCCACTCGCTCGAAAATACCCCCACCGGTGCAAAGCCATGGATGAGGAGATGATCGCGCTACGGTCCAATGGCACTTGGACTCTAGTTCCACGGGACCAAGCATCGAACATAGTAGGAAATCGCCGGGTCTATAGAATAAAAAGACTTCCGGATGGGACAATAGATCGATTCAAAGCACGCCTTGTTGCTAAAGGCTTCCATTAACGCCCAAGCATCGACTACATGGACACCTTTAGTCCCATGGTCAAACCGACAACGATGAGATTGATACTCTCTTTGGTAGTTACAAACCAATGGGTGGTACAATAGCTTGATGTCTCCAATGCGTTCTTGCATGGAGATCTCGAAGAGCCGTATTTATGGAGCAACCACGAGGCTATATGGACTCAAGATTCCTAGATCATGTCCGTGCTTTGAAGAAGTCCCTTTACGGTCTCAAGCGAGCGCCAGAGCTTGGTACCGGTGCCTCACAAATCAACTTCTCCATCTTGGATTCAAAAGATCTCGGTCGACACTTCCCCGTTTATGTATAAAACAGGACAAGACACCATATATTGTATCATTTATGTGGATGACATAATTGTCACTGGAAATAATACGAGTCTAATTCGGTTTCTCAAAACCAAGCTTCAAGAACAATTTGCTATTAAAGATTTAGGCGGACTCGCCTACTTCCTCGGCATTGAGGCGCATTGGTGTAAGGGAGGATTGTCCCTCACACGATCCAAATATATCAAGGATATCCTTAGAAAGGCAAAAATGCATGAGGCCGACTCGATTTCTACTCCCGCCACTCGTCATTGAAAAATTAATGTCCACTGGACCTCTCGTTTGATGATCCAACATTGTATCGTAGCATTGTTGGAGGACTTCAATATCTTACATTAACATGGCCGGACATATCCTATGCCGTCAATAAAGTTGCCCAATTCATGCACGCCCCTACAACAGACTCATTGGTCAGCTGTTAAAAGGATTTTGAGGTACTTAGGCTCTACACCCGATCATGGGTTGCATTTCAAACCCGCAACCACCTTAACCATAAATGCCTATACTGATGCAGATCGGGGAGGTGATGTAGATGACAGGAAAAGTATTACAGGATATGCAATTTATTTCGACAACAATCTTGTATCCCGGTGCTCAAAGAAGCAAAGAACCGTTGCGCGATCATCCACGGATGCGCAGTATCGTGCCTTAGCCATAACGAGCATCCGAGGTTACTTGGATTCACTCTTTATTAAAGGAGATCGGTGTTACAATACCTGTTGCACCCATCATCCGGTATGACAACATTTCGCCACCTACTTGGCAGCCAATTCGGTTTTTCACGCCAGGTCTAAACACTTAGAGATCGATTTTCATTTTGTTCAAGATAAGGTGAAGAAGAAAGAGCTCACTCGTAAGTTTCATTTCTACCACCGATTAGATTGCGGATATCCTAACCAAACCCCTCTCTAAACGGCAATTCCTTCTATTAAGGGACAAGCTGACTCTGCAATCAGCAGCTCAGCTTGAGGGAGGATGATAAGGATACACCAGCTGCCATGTTTATCTCTAACCTATGCTTGTCTCTGCCTCTAGTCTGTACAGTAGTATAGTTAAAGATATCTTATTGTTAAGCTTATCAGCTCGAGTCCTTGTTGTTATAGAAGTGGCGTCCTTGTAAATGTAGAAGTCTCCACTTGATACAAGTCTCTGTAAATATAATTTCCAGCTCTGTAAAGTATAAATACAGATGCTTAATGAATGAAATATATACTGGAGCTTATGCAATTCTTCAATTATATCTTTAAATTATTCTAAAATATCTAATGAGTCCATCTATCAAAATGTAAAATCGTCTAGTCAGTGGAAACTAATGCAATTTTTTAATATCAAATTACCTCTTTCTTTTCCAAAACTCTTCACACAAAAATCAATTTATAATATTATAAGCAATTCAAAATCATACTTATGACATGTTCAGTAAACACATAAAAAATGGACAGACCACATGGTTGTTGCGTGTCTTTAAATATTTGGAGGGGTAGTAAATTTGATTTTTAAATTCTATATATAGGTCTTGTGCAATTTACGTGCACAATTTTCCCTACATGTGCAACACGTTGTAATAAAAAGACCTATTGCTGATTTGGTTACAAATTGTAGAGGCAATTAAACGCATAAGAATAAATTCTTAGTTTCATTTGCCGTTTTTTATATCCAAAAGTGTTTTTTTTTTTTTTTTTGAAAAGTATTTTTAAAAATTTTTCTATATGTAGTTGCACTTTAAAAAATTGATCAATGAAATTTATTTTCCGATTTAAAAAAAGTTAAGTTTTAGAGGACAGAAAGTGTTTTTTTGATTTAAAAGAGCCAAAAACGCTTCTTATAAAGGACTAAAAAACTAAAATGATACAATACTCCATTATTCTTATATATAAAAATATTAATCTATTAATAAAACAATATATAATCTATAATATTATTAAATAATAATAAATTACTAATATATTTATATAGGAAATAAAACATTCAATATATTAATATACAATATATAGAAATATATTTATTTAATATATTAGTGCATATAATGCTTTAATTTAGATAGTGTTGCTAGAAAATACACTATAATACACAAAATGTTAGGTTATACAACAATCACACATTTAAATCATATAAATTGTATATATTATAAAAATAAGTTAATAAAGAGAAAAAAAAATTATTTGGACAATTGGGACTCACGGCTGTGAAATCTCCATGTGGGATTCACAGCTGTGGTCCTCCAGTTTCTAACAATTGGGTCATTTGAACAAAAATAGCTGCAACAAGAGATATGTCCAACGGTTTTCTTTCATTAACACAGAAAAAATTTCTTTATTAAGTTCCAGTCTACATAGCTGGCTTTGAGCAAAGATTTTTTTTTTTTTTTTTTTTTTTTGAATGTAAGATACGCTAATGAACAAAAATATATTAGGAGATGAATGAGTCAACGGTTTGGAAGTACTTGAGCAATAACAGTGGGTGAGATAAAACGCAGTTGTTGGAACAATTACATCTTCAATTTTGATTGCTGTAAGCGACATGATCGAAGTTCTTTCGATCGAGATGGATATACTGAATAAACTAATAATGTTAGGTTTAATTATAAATTTTATCATTATTCTATTATGATTTAACAATTTCAGATCTTTAATGTCAAATTAAATAATTTGAACCTCGAATTATTGATTTTTGGATAAAATTGATCTAATTACTGTTATATATAATGGTCAACTGGATTAAATAATTACTTGAAATGTCAAAACGATGTCGTTTTGATATTCCACTGTTAATTATGTTTTTTTTTTAAAACAATACTCTAAAAATATTTTTAACTCCTTAATCTTGAACTTTTTTTTCTTATAAAATATTTATATAAAAAACATTTTATAAATATTTTTAACCCCTAATTTGAACTTGTTTTAAATTTTTTTTATAAAATATTATAAACATTTTATAATTTTTTTTATAATTTATAAAACTAGGGGATCAGCCCTTAATTATACTCATTTTAATTTATAAAATATTTTAATTTATATTATAAAAATTTATAGAAAAAACATAATTAACAATACACAATTTCTAATTTATATTATAAACATTTATTAAAAAATAATAATTAACAATGTACAATTTCAGGCATTTATAAAAATATTTTATAAATTAAAATGAGCATAATTAAGGATTGACCTTCCTAATTTTATAAATTATATATAAAAAAATATAATATTTCAAAAAAAAGTTTTAAAAAAGTTCAAAATTATTGGAGTTATAATATATATATATATATAATGTTTTATTATAATTTTTTTTAAAAAAATTTCAAGATTAGGGATTAAAAATATTTTATAAAAATATAATTAATAACGGAATGTTAAAACGACGTCATTTTAGCATTCCAAGTAACAATCAACGGTTGACTGATACATGTAACGGCAATTAGAAAAATTGAATCAATTTTGCTCAAAAAATAAATAATTTGAGGTTCAAATTACATAATTTAGTATTAAGTGTCAAAGGATTATCTCCACTCAAAATGTTAAGCTGATCGCTAAGTTAACAAGGTTATGATATTATATCAAATGACTATTTCAATCTAAAAATTTAAGCTATTAGATGAGATTTCATGATAATGATTTATATTATTTTTTAACATGAAGTACTTTAAATTATAAAATCGTAATAGAATGAAAATAAAATGTATCTTTAAACTAATAATTTTATTTTTCAGATATAATAATCATATATAGCCAAACAAGTAATTTTCTATCAATTCGCTGCTTCTACAGAAACATCTTTCACCTTTAATTAAGATGTCTTCAAAATGAGCAGACAAGACTGAAGGATACGTGGAGAGTGAGATAGGGGGAAAAAACAAGACTTAAATAAATAACATGTCTCGCAGATTACAAGGATGCACATGGGAAGTGCTAGTCACAAGGTTTGACTTAAATAGGAAATAACAAAGAAGAGAAAGAAAAAAATAAAAAGCCAATCAATCATGCATGAAAATGTTGGCTAGCTCTCCTTGATGGGGAAAATTTTTTTAAAAAAAGAGGAGACAAGCTATAGCACATTTTCAGACGTCTGAAACACTGTGATTAACAACCGTGAATCCTCCATCAACGGCCAAGTTATGTCCACTTATGTAAGCTGATTCATCGGATGCGAGAAATAAAGCAGCCTCGGCTACATGCCTAGCCTTCAATACAATACCCTTCAAGTTGGCCAAGGCAGAACTATGAGCTTCAACTTCAGTAGGTTGCAAATTATAAGCTTCACAAGCAAGTGGGGTCGCAACTCCATACGGAGAAATGCAATTCACTCTAATCCCATAAGCCCCTAGCTCACTACAAGCCGTTCTGACTAGACCAACCAGAGCGTGTTTCGAGATGGTATAAGCATGTGGTCCTATCCCAGCAAGCGAAGATGTAACACTGGTGGTGCATATAATAGATCCGCGAGTATTTGTAGACACCATGGCTCGGGCAGCATGCTTTATTGTTGCTGCAGCACCACGTACATTTGTTGCCATGGTGTTGTCGAAACCTTCAATGTCAAGTTCCAGGATGCCTGTTAATGGGCCTACGATTCCAGCATTGCTGAATAAAACATCAAGCTTTCCATATTTCTCCAAGATGTAATTCACTGTTTCCTCAACTTGCTTCTCATCTCTTACATCGCAGTGGCGGTAAGCAGCCTTATCAGCGCCGACCGATGCTACCACTTGATGGCCCAAGTTATCCTGGACATCAGCAACAACAACAAAACCTCCATTCTCAACGAATAGTTTCACTGCCTCCTCGCCGATCCCGCTAGCTGCACCAGTAATTAGTGCAACCTTGCCTTCCAACCTGAAAGATCAAATGCACAATTGAATATATGCATGTGTGCAAATGTTCGCTATAAATTTTACAACAGAAAGAAGTAAATAAAAATATTCATGAGGCTCTCTGGCAGATCAAAGAGGTTAAATTAAGGAAGAAAAAAGCTTACCTTGGCTTAGACATTGGTGAAAGTCTTGTTCTTCTTGAGAAACTTTGCTCAAACTTCTAAATAAAAAGACTCTTGGATCTGCTGTTTATAATGGTTTTAGGTTCGTGCTGCCTAACTAATATTTTTAATTAGGTTTCTTAAGCTGCAGAGCTCGAGACAATGATTGGAAAACTTCCAAATATTTGTCATCCTATAATATAAATAGAAATTTAATATAAAAGTTTAAAAAATGCTTTACTAATTTTTTTTCATAAGATTGCTTAGAAAAAATAAAACAACAATTGATATAATTGGAAACATATAAAAGTTTAAAAAAGGCTAATTTGATTTATATATATCTATTAACAAAATAATCAATAATATTAGCATAAAAGGCTGTATTTGAATAATTGGACAATTCTTTCAAAATATTATTTAACTTATTTTTGATATGATAAAATTCGATTTTAGAATATGAAAAATAGTAAATGACAAATAATCAGTATTATGTGTGAAGATATATAGCTAATTTCTAATAAAAAAATGATTTAAAAATATATATACACACATTATGATCGTATCCAATAGATTAAGAGTTTATAGCATAAACCAAAAAACATTGAAAAAAACAACAAAATAAATTATAAGAAATATATTAAAGTTAAAAAATTAAATAAAAACAACCAAAAAATTGATATATATATATATATATATAAGTACATTATTCTTATTTAATAATCATAAGAATCCATGATAATAATATAATTAAAAAAAATAATCATGCTCTAATTTTTTTTCAAAATCTACACTAATTAATTAATAAAATTACAAATGGTTAACAATTTTTTTTTTAACTTATATAATTGATGATAGATTAATTTTTTTTTTAACTTATATAATTGATGATAGATTAAGATTGATTGAATGCGTAAGGGAAGATAATTAAGATTGAGAGAATCAAATTTCTTTCATTATAATATATATATGCATCTGCCATTCAAACCTAATATTGTTTCCTCTCTCTCTCTATATATATAGAGAGAGAGAGGAAACAGTATTAGGTTTGAACGGCAGATGCGTCTCTCTCTCTCTATATATAGAGAGAGAGGAAATAATATTAGGTTTGAACGGCAGATGCGTAGATATATATCTCTCTATATAGAGAGAGAGAGGAAATAATATTAGGTTTGAACGGCAGATGCGTAGATATATATATATAGAGAGAGAGGAAACAATATTAAGTTTGAACGGCAGATGCGTAGAGAGAGAGAGAGAGAGAACACTTTTTGGCGTGATTTATGGCTTCATGTTTGCCACTGTCATTATAAGTCAACATCTACTAAGGGTTACTATCGTTGTAGTCATTTCGCACCAAGCATTCACTTTCCTTGCACAATCATGGAACTGATCTTTCTTCTTCAGCTTCTCTCATATCTTTTCCTTCTTTCCCTCTGTACTTATCTTTACCTCTTCTCCACCTCAAAAAGAAACCGATCAACAAAGGCTTCAAAAGCTACCCTATTGTTGGGGCATTACCTGAATTCTTGAGAAACCATCATCGTTACCTCGACTGGATCACCGAAATCGTCATTGACAGCCCTGGCAATACTGCTGTCTTTCACTTTCCGGGAAACATCCACGGTGTCTTCACGGCGAATTCTTCGAATGTTGAATACGTTCTGAAAACCAACTTCGAGAACTATCCGAAAGGCGACGAGTTTGTTTCGTATCCTGAAGACAATTCTTATGAACTTGGACCATATATGACTAATTTAAAAAAGGCTAATTTGATTTATATATATCTATTAACAAAATAATTAATAATATTAGCATAAAATGCTGTGTTTGAATAATTGGACAATTCTTTCAAAATATTATTTAACTTATTTTTTATATGATAAAATTTGATTTTAGAATATGAAAAATAGTAAATGACAAATAATCAGTATTATGTGCGAAGATATATAGCTAATTTCTAATAAAACAAATGATTTAAACATATATATAAACACATTATCATCGTATCCAATAGATTAAGAGTTTATAGCATAAACCAAAAAACATTGAAAAAAACAACAAAATAAATTATAAGAAATATATTAAAGTTAAAAAATAAAAATAAAAACAACCAAAAAATTGATATATATATATATATATATATATAACTACACTATTCTTATTTAATAATCATAAGAATCCATGATAATAATATACTTAAAAAAAGATAAAATAATCATACTCTAATTTTTTTTCAAAATCTACATATATAAAAATGTATCGTAAATTAATAACACTAGTAAAATGTATTATGGATTATAATAATAATTGTGAATAATGAAGATGTGGATTAAAATAATAATTATGAAAATATTGGGGGACCAAAATGTAATATTTTTCTATAATTTGAATATAATTGCAATGAATCTAAGATGAAAAAACGGTAAAAAATGATGATGAATGATCTAAGGGTCTAGAGGAGTGAATAGCGAAGATGGATGTGTAACTGCGAATACTAAATCCCTCGTATCTTTTAGTTTTTTTTTACAATTATAATATATATTGTTGCAATTGAGCTGCAAATAACTCAATATAATGCGCCAAGGAAGCATAGCCACATGATCGCATCAGTGCGGTAGCCCTGATTCCTATCAAGTCGTTGCACTTGCACCAACATTACGAGTTGGAGGACAGGACCATGGGAGACATGATGTAATTTTTTTATTTTATTTTGTGAACAAAAAAATTAACGCAGTTTAATGAAAAATTTTGTTCTCATTTTATTATAATTTGATAATTTCAAGCTCTTAGTATCTAATTATATAATTTGAACTCTAAATTATTAGTTTTAGGTAAAATAAATTCAATTTTTTTAATTATCGTTACATAATGATCAACTAGGTTAACCGTTATTTGAAATGTAAAAATGTCATCATTTTGATATTTTGCTATTAATTATATTTTTTAAAAAATATTTTTAACCCCCTGAATCTTGATTTTTTTAAAAAAATTTTTTTATAAAATTTTATAAATTACATAAAAAAAACATTTTATAAATATTTTAAATCCCCTAATTTGATTTTTTTATAAAATATTATATTTTTTTATATATAATTTATAAAACTATGAGGGTCAACACTTAATTATGCTCATTTTAATTTATAAATTTTTTTTAAGGCCTAATATTTAAAATTTTATAAATTATAAATTATAAACAAATTATAAAATATTTATAATATTTTATTAAAAAATTCAAAATTACAGGAGTTAAAAATATTTATAAAATATTTTTTATATAATTTATAATATTTTATAGGAAAAAAGTTTTTTTTTTAAAAAAAAGTTCAAGATTAGGGGTTAAAAAATTTATTTATGTTTTTAAATATAATTAATAACGGAATGTCAAAATAATCTCGTTATAATGATAATTAAAAAATTAGATTAATTTTGTTTAAAACTAATAATTTGAAGTTTAAATTACATAATTTGATACTAAAAATTTGAAATTATCAAATCGTAATAAAATATGAACAAAATTTGCCATTAATCGAATTAACACATACGTTACAGGTAATGTCACGTGTCTCATATTTATACATATATAAAAAGTCTCCACTACAACTATATTATTGAAATCAATATAGCTTTATATATCTACATCATATGATTTGAGTTCTACGAAATAATTAAAATTTATCCTATTCGCGAATGTTGAGCGACTAATTAAGGTACTCGAAAAGGAATCCGCATAATCCATCCATTTTCATTTCTAATTCCACTCGCAAGTTCTGTGGATCTGAAAATTTGAAGCAATCCGGATACAAATAATGCCCGCAGTGCAAGTTGTGAAAGTCAAAAATGAAAAAGAAAAGAAAAGAAGGTTACAGTGTAATATTTGTATTTAAAGTCATTTTATTAAAATATGGGTAGTTTAGAAAATATTCAAAAGTTAAAAAGAATAAAGCTTTAGCTTGTAAACGTACCATGTTTTATTTTTTTAGACACAAAAAATTTTAAGCATTGGAGAGAAGAAGAGGAGGATCAAGAAGATGATTGAACTAGGATCAAATCTTTGTCTCTTATCAATTTTAAGGTGAGTTTTCACTCTCTCTATCTTTAAATTAAGTTCCCGCATGTATATTAGGATGCTAAAAATAGGTTGTATTTAGGATCCTCCAAATGATCTCATAATCAGCAAATAAAAATATCGAAGTTATTATAAAAAAACTCGATCAATTAGAATTTTTTGTTCTATGCAGCTAAATTAGATAGTATCTTAACGTAATGAAAAGAAATAGCACTAGAAGATTAGGGATCTCGTTTTTTAGCGGAAAATAATTTTCAGTAGGAAAATCAATTTTGAGGAAGCTATTTTTCAGGAAGTTGTTTTCCAAAAAAATATTTTTCGACGTTTGACGAGTTGAATGAAAAACTGTTGAAAAACATTTTTCAGCCGTTTGTTTAATACGTAAAACGAAAATATAAAAACAGATCGTAGTTGTTATATCAACAAATTTTGAAAGAATTTCAACAAGACATATTGACAATTTTATAGACTTAAACTAATAAATAATAATGTGATATTTTGTAGAATTAATTTCAACAAGGCATACAAAAACTATTTGAACTTTTTTTAACATGTTCCTATCGATATTTATTAGTAGAATTAATTTTTTTTTTTGAATGAGAAAAAAATAAAGTTAATCTTGTTGAACTTTTTTATATTAAAATTTATAAACTTAAACTAATAAATAATAATGTGATATTTTGTAATTGAAATAACACTACTTGTAAAACATAAAAAATGTAATATAATTAGTTATAAAAAAAGGTTATATAATAAAATTATAATGAAAAACTTGGGTGGATAAATAAAATACAAAGCTCTTTCCATTCTATCAATTTGTCTCCCCATAAGTCGTACATTCAATCAAGAAGTAAAACATAAATAAATACATTGATAGTGCTTTAAAATCACGAGTCACTTTGTACAACATAGTCATTTCACATATCTAATGCAATGACATCTCTTTTCACTAACCATTCCCTATTATCTTCCCTTTCTTCTCTTTGACTTATACGGGTTCTATCCACAATCATGGATTGGCTTGATGTGGTAATTTCTTCCATAACATAATCATCGTGGTCAACTCCTCGTTATATGATTATGAATGATACAACTTGCAAGCACGATATTCACTCGAGTGTTGTAGGACCAAAATGGTCGAGCATCAATACACCAAAATCTTTTCTTTAGTATACCGAAACCATGTTCAATTGTTGTTCGCAAAGAAGAATGATGAAGATTAAATAACTCCTTTACATTATCGAGTGGATGGTCGATAAACTCGTTTAGATGGTATCGAACACCACGATATGGAGTTATCACTCCATTTCGGTTCCGTAACCAGTATCACCAAGATAATATTTACCTACAAATTTTATGAAATATACCACCAATAAATATTTGTATACATGCATAAATATATGAGTAGACAATGTACATTAAAAATTTTATTTAATACCTTTTGGAATCTTAAGTCCTCCGGATCGTGATAATGCATCGTTTAAGACACGAGAATCGCCTTCCCAACCAGCTAAAATATAATTAAATTTTAATTTAAAATTGATGGTCGCCAATACATTTTGTGTTGTTTCGCTCTTTTTACCACGAAACTTTCCTTGGAGTTCCACAGTACACAACTTTGAAAAACATGGAAATGTCAACGATTGACAAAGCAAGTTGTTGCTCATCAAACCTTGTTCCTCTATTTCTTATCCCTACCATTCTTACTTTGCTCATCATTTGAGTTTTGAACTATCATCCCATCCGTTGTCACCGGATACAACGAACGAATGGAGCATCAATAACAAATGATGCCGAAAGCCATACAACTCGTTTATTCTCAAGTCGTAGAAAACGCTCCCCATGAACCGAAGCAAATAGTCCGGGGACATGTGAAATATGGCCTTTCCATGTCTTCAATAATGTTCACCAATCCGAGGTCGACTCTCTTCATATTTCGGACGTGCACAATTGTCAAAGTTCGAAAGTGGTTTTGTATTCGAGTGTAGTAAGTGGAGGCGATGATCAAGCACTCCACTGTCTTAAATTTGATTTGTCATTGTTATCAACAAGCAAGGATTATGAGATTGTGGCATCAAATGTCATCAATTTATTCCCCAAGTCTAAAAGCATGAATAATCCTCGTAGACAAAGCCGGACTAAAAAGTACAGGATCAAATTTTTATATCATGACGGAATCCCTTTTGCTCATAGCTCTACCATAAAAGGTAAAAATAGTTATTACTCCTTCAAACTAGGGAAGTTTGTGTCATAATTTCACTAATGTCTTTGATCTCATTTTCCTAGTCGTTTCCAATGTTGTTATTAAATATTTGCTAAGGACCCATCCCTTCGTTAGTTCGTCGGTGATTTATTGAACATCATAATGATCGGCTAGTTTGTGTTTTTACATGGGTATAGAAGGATTCGTAGTTTCTTTCCTTTCCGTAAAATCTTAATTTGTATATTCTGATAACAGTATTTGTATATTCCGATAATAGTATTTTTCTAACGAGACAAATATGAACCAAATGAAAATTTTGAGCAAGGTCTTTTGTAGATATGAAGTCTTGAATGCATCCGTTGTGGCGACTAACCGATTGAAATTGGTTTTATTTTATGAAGGTGTGTGGACGGATGGCTTGTGGGTGTTTTCCATCGGTCTTGATCGGCGCATCGGATGTCGGCTTCTTCGGGATGATTGTAAATTAACCGAGCAAGATCATCCGATCATTAATGTTCCAAATCCGTAAGCACTCGCATGCGAAAGCCTTTGGCAAGTGAGTATTGCCGGTGATGTGCATCACAGCTATCAAGCATAAATATTTCGCAGTTATAATTCGATTTATAATGTGATTTTTCTATGTGTCCGTCTTATTTAGGAACCACTATGAAATTGTCGTGGCTGGAAGAGGAATGCAAATGGTTGAGTTCTCTCGCATCTTAGGCCATGGGTGGGAGAGATACGAGTGATTTTTGCAATGGTGTCACTTCATACCATAAAATTTTATACAATGGTACTCCGATTGTCTTAGTATCACCAAGTGCGCCTTATAGTCTCCTACTCTCTAACGTTCATTCTTGACATGCCGAACCAGCTGAGCAGCCTTCAACACCTAAAAGCACACATTGGGGAACCAATCTTTGAGAAAATGGTTGCTTGCAAAATAAGGTCTCGTAGCTCGGTTTACAATTTGTGTCCACCCCTATTAAGAGAATGGTAGCAACAAAATGCCATTGGTCCATGCCATATCAAAACTAAAATTAAGACCAAGTGTCTATCCGGGTTTTACTTGTGTATCAAACCAGTTTGTTATTTGATATTTAGTCTCATTTTTAAGTTTGGACCTCCTTTGGATGCGGTATTTTGAACCATTGAATTCAATAAATTCTTGCAAAAACAAATACTAAAAGCTTATGTTACATGACAAGTATCCTTTGCCGCATTTAGATCTCCAACACTACATTGTATATGTGGTATTTTGAATCATTGAATTCAGTAAAGTCTTGACATCTCCAATAATACATCGTGGTTAAGTTCACTTCCTGTGTACAAAGTTAGTGGTCTAAGCCCGTGCATTGTTGTTCACATGGTCAGCAAGATGGTCGGCCGAGTTCTCTATCGGTCCCTTCGGTCACAATAGCTCGCACAAAGAACCCAAACATGGAGAACATGGCAAGTCTCCCATTCTTGATTTCTTTAACTTTAAGCTCGCAAATGCCTTCGGATCATCAGCAAGCCCCGAGGGATCAAAGCCGCCACCCGGGTATACGGGGTCGGTGACCTCACCGAGAGGTCCTCCCGGAATGCGGTAACCCTCGACAACGCCCACGAGGAGCACCCGAGTTGCCCATATGGCTAAAATGCTTTGAGCATGGATCAAGCCGGGGTTTCCCAAATAGTCAAGACCACCATCGCCGAAGATTGAGAACCAGCCTTGAACCACACCGGCTCACCAAACTTGGCTTCGTTCCCGGCAAGAAGCTCGTGGAAGACACATCCCAAAGCTCCAAGCATTGACCGCCTAGCATGAATAACCTCAAGCTCCCAATTTCGGCAAAAGTTTCGGGATCTCGCCGATAGCCCCGCAAGGTTCCAACCATAGTCACCGGGAAATTCACTAGTCAAGTAAGATGAAGGCTCGCCGGAGAGTGGTCCAAGGTACTCGACACGATCAGGACCATACCAAGAGCTCCCGTAAGCGTTGCCTTTCCAGCGAGTCTTCCTCATGGAGACTCTACCACCGCCGCCGTGGGTGGTTGATAAAAACTCGATGACTCCATTCAAAGGAACGAGCTTTGCTCGCGAAAGTGGATGACGTAGTCATGGTTGCCATGCTTCATGTTTTAAGTAGATGGTGGAGTGACTCGCCGCTGTCCTTGTGAGTTTGGCTAGGAGATGATGAATGTAAGATAAAAAAGTCACTCTTTTATAGAGTCCGGTAAGTGGCCACCATCCTATCCATGTGGGATCTTCCTCTTTCTCCTCATTGGTCGATGAGTTGATCGTAGGTATGCAAAAATCCTACACCACTTCCCCGCCAATCGTGAAGACTAGGATGGATTTTGCTCAAATAATTAGGAAATATGCACAACCTAATCCAAATTTATCCATGTGGTCCTTGCTGCAAGTTAGATTGTATTCTATAACCATATATAACGAACTCGATACAAGTAGCCTTTTTTCGCACGCGGATCATGCCCTCGCGAGCCACTCTTGTTTTCTTGCTTCCTTTTTGGTCAATGTTTTTCACACGACAATTTGAATGGTCTATGTATTGTATTATGAAGCTTTCACCTAAAACATGAAGACCTTCTTTGGTGAATGACCGGGTTTTTTTTCTTTTTCTCGATTGAAGTGTTATCCTATATGTATATATATAAAGTATCATTCTCCACATGAAAAAAGTTCAAGTAGCCAACGAGCTATGATTCATTTGATATAAGTGTCACTCCTCCTAAAGAGTCTCAAGTTCAAATCTGCATTTTGTAAATTTATATATAAAAAAAAAATCCAAAATTAACTCGTTGGTCCATTGATCCTACCAAATAATAAGAAAATCGTACAAACATTGGAAGTAATGCACAATATATATATATATATATATATATATATATATATATATATATATATGGTTATAAATTCTTATATTTTTTTAAATAAAAAATTTATCACCATACAGATCCAATAAATTATAAATTAGTTACCAAAGAGCTTGTAGCCTAAGTGATAGTAGTCTCTTACAACAAGATATCACGAATTCAAATCTTAACAAACTAGTTCTACTAGGAGATTTAGGTACGTGAGTTAAAAAAATTAGAGGAAAGAGTGAACATGGGGCTATCTCCGATCCGGAAAGGACTTTCTCGATTCGCATTTTCGGATAAAGCAGGCGAAAGTCATTCCTCTCGCTAAGTTTATTTATTATTAAGAAAGGAATTAATTAGCTTCTCTTATTTTAAAAACAAATTATTTAGCTTTTTAACTAGTGTTGAACATGTTTAATATAATATTATTTTATTATAAAAATAATGTCTTTTTAATATCTATTTATTTTCTTTTTTATATTTAAAAAAAATTAAAAATAACATAAAATAAGCAAGAAGAATTAATAATTAATTTTATTCTTTGATATATTGAAAAATTTTATAATACACGAGGAGTAAAAAGTTGATCGGTGTTTACCAAAATGAGTCTACGAAATAAAGTTGATTGACAGTACTCATTGTCCTCCGTTTGAAATATTGTTGGGCCGCAAATATATAAGGCATCATTAATTTAAAATATAATCCTCAAATTTGGTATATCGGAGGAGAGATTAGGTTAATGGCCTATTTGGTCTTTGAAATTAGAGGTTAAATCCTAATCCTCTTAATTTGGGGTGCAAGCAGATGTTTAGGGCTCCCAATACCTCATTTCTGCTTTAACTTTATGTTTGAAATTAATGATACAAACTTATTAGCATTTTTGTGTTTTGTAATTTGTTGGCTTGTACATGTGGATCTTCTTTCCGATTCGTAGTTGTTTCCAGATGTCTTTGTTCCGAACATCTCAAAGAAGATGTTGAGACAGACAAAATGGAACATAAAAAAAGGAGCAATTCACGAGAATCATCCCGAAGGAACTCGCGAAGATACCGTAAAACCTTAATCTTGGAATTTTTTTTTTTTAAAGTGCAGACCAAACTAGTTTTAATACATATGTACCAAAATGTTTTATGACATGTCAGCTGAGGTTTATATAATAAGAAATAATTTATTGATTATTATTAATTATTTCTTATGTATTATAAAAATTTTTCAATACATTATCTTAAAACTTAGTCTATTCATCCAAGAGTCCAAAATATATACATCAAGCTCTATATAAATTGCATGGGGAAATTAGAAAAATTAATCAAGGATATATATATATATATATATATATATACAGATTAAAAAAAAAAAAGTCAATTAAACACTAGACAAGAAGAACAAACTAAATCAAGAAACGATTTACCACTGGTCTTCTTTTATCTCTTTACTCTCCCATGCATTCTTAGTCTCCCTATCTCTTATTTTATGAGTCTTCTTTAAACAATTTCCAAACAAAATTATATTAAATTCAATTATATTAAATTCCAAAAAGTCAAATTAACAAAATCCCATGTTATAGATCCAAACAAAATCAAACCCGATTGTACAAAAGAATCCATGTGTGCAACAAGTGCCAGTACATAATAGTGCAATATATATATATATATATATGACAACCTTTTCTTCTTGTATATATATGTATAATAATATTAGAGATTGACAAACAATTTATCATGGATTTTTTACTTTCGAGTTAAAAAATCTCAGTTGGTGGATTTAATAGTATATTTGGTTCTTGTATTTTAGACTTTTTATTTACATAATTTCTTTGCTATTTTTTTTATTTAGTTGGTCCTTCTATTTTAATTTTTTTAAATGCATTCCATCAGCCACCTTCATTTTAATTTATCTTTAATTCTTAAAAATATTCCCAAAAAAAATTGACACACGTCTGGAAAATTTCAGAATCCATGCCATTTATTAAGAATTAACAATAAATTAAACTAAAAAAACCACATTAAGTTTTTTTTTAAAAAAAAATAGAAGGACCAACTAAATAAAAAAATAATGAAAAAAAAGAAACCACATTAAAAAAAACATATAAAAAAAATACAAGAACCGAATATGCCATTAATCATTTTCCTTACTATAGTAATTAATGAATGTATAAAGTTATAAACATAATTGGATTAATGAAAATGTTTAAAATGCTCAATAAGTAATTAACTACCAATATTTAGTTTATGGATTCTTTTTGAGAAGAGAAATAAAAAAAAAAATTAAACCCATTAAAAGTGATAAGAATGTTTCTAGTTAGGTTTTTTTTTTTTTTAATTCTCTCTCGTAGTTCTCTCTCTTTCTTATATTTATCTCTCTTCTATAAAGTAATTATCGGCAATTACTTCTTAAATAATATAAAATTTATTTTATTATACAACTATTTTAAAGATAAGTGTGCAATAAAAAAATCATTATTGAAAAAAAAGTGCCTTCTCCTGAAAAAGAGACATTATTATTCAAAAATGTAGTTTACACAATCACCCACGCTCTCTCATCAAACTCACATGCAAACATTAGATGTTGTTAACGATATGTTGTCAACCAATCACTACCAAGAAACTCTGTCACAACTCAAAACTAATATTGATTATGAGATAATTATACTATAAATATACCAGCTTTTAGTTTTTTCTCAATTGAGTATATAACTTCTAATGTTTTAATTAATTTTTAATTTTTTTATTGAGTGCACCTATATTTTTAAAACTCGTCAATTAAGTATTTTTATCAAATTTTTATTAATCGATGACATGTCCGTTATTCTTATAATATCAAATTATAATTTTTTCTTCTTTTTGTTAGAGGAAACTTTCTCAAATTATTCTACCATTCAAAATTTGACCAAAAAAATTTTAAATATTATTTTTTCTTTCATATTTGTTATTTTTTAAAGAAATAATAAAATCATTTGGAAGGGAAAATTCTCTCTAACAAAAAGCGAGAGAAAATAATAATTTAATATTTTAAGAATAATGTATACATTGTCAATCAACGAAAAAATTGATAAAAATACTTAATTGGTAGTTTTAAAAAATCAATATATTTAAACAAAAAAATTAAAATTCATATATTCGATTAAAACAAAATTAATATTGATATAATTATAGTACAAGTATCCCAATTAATTATCTATATATACATCCCGCCGGTCTTTTTTTATCTATATTTATAGATACCGATATGTTTTTGAATTAATTTTCGCATCAATCAAGGTTAAATCTATCATTTTTTAGGTTAAGTTTGTGCTAAAGCATACTTAGTTTTTGATCGACTACTGAACTTTTATTTAGACCAAATGAGCTAAAACTTGATACTATTAAAAAAATAATTATAGCTAATTATCTATAAATAGTGAGAATTAAATTTTAGTTTGGATCAAATTAAAATAATTTTCTTATCCATTAGAACATATTTTTTGGTGGTACATTCGGCCGCTAGTCTCTCGGTGTGTGTATACATATTGATTGACATTATCTAGTTGTATAGAAAACAAACTACTGAAACTGAAATAAAGTAAGCATCGGAGTCGTGATCTGGGCAGTATCCTGCTTCTGGCCTTCTAGCCATAATTTGACATTGAACCAATCTACGTCCATTTCGTAATCATGATAAAATTTGTTGCCACAGCCAATAAAAAGCGATTAAGCAATTGCACCTTTAAAGGCCTCAAATTTGAATAATGTTGGCATCATTCCTCCTTTGATAGGATGTCATCTTCTCTTTGAGGTGTCCATAAGTCCATCTATAATTTTAATTTGACTTATTATATCTTTAAATTATTCTAAAATATCTATTTAATCCATCTATCAAAATGTAAAATCGTAAAGTCAGTGGAAACTAATGCAATTTTTTAATTATCAAATTACCTCTTTCTTTTCCAAAACTTTTCATACAAAAATCAATTTATAATATTATAAGCAATTCAAAATCATACTTATGACATGTTCAGTAAACACATAAAAAAGGGACAGACCACATGGTTGTTGCGTGTCTTTAAATATTTGGGGGGTAGTAAATTTGATTTTTAAATTCTATATATAGGTCGTGTGCAATTTACGTGCACAATTTTCCCTACTTATGCAACACGTTATAATAAAAAGACCTATTGCTGATTTGGTTACAGATTGTAGAGGCAATTAAACACATAAGAATATATTCTTTGTTTTATTTGCTGTTTTGTTTATCCAAAAGTGTTTTTTTGAAAAGTATTTTTAAAATTTTTTTTATATCTAGTTGCACTTTAAAAAATTGATCAATGAAATTTATTTTCCAATCAAAGAAAAAATTTAGTTTTAGAGGAAAGAAAGTGTTTTTCTGGTTTGAAAGAGCGAAAATTGCTTTTTATAAAGGCTGAAAAACTAAAATGATACAAAGCTCTATTATTCTTATATATATAAAAATATTAATATATTAATAAAACAATTTAGTTGCCCAATTCATGCACGCCCCTACAACAGCTCATTGGTCAGCTGTTAAAAGGATTTTGAGGTACTTAGGCTCTACACCTGATCATGGGTTGCATTTCAAACCTGCAACCACCTTAACCATAAATGCCTATATTGATGCAGACTGGGGAGGTGATGTAGATGACAGGAAAAGTACTACAGGATATGCAATTTATTTCGACAACAATCTTGTATCCCGGTGCTCAAAGAAGCAAAGAACCGTTGCGCGATCATCCACAGATGCGAGTATCGTGCCTTAGCCACAACAGCATCCGAGGTTACTTGGATTCACTCTTTATTAAAGGAGATCGGCGTTACAATACCTGTTGCACCCATCATCTGGTATGACAACATTTCTGCCACCTACTTGGCAGCCAATTCGGTTTTTCACGCCAGGTCTAAACACTTAGAGATCGATTTTCATTTTGTTCGAGATAAGGTGAAGAAGAAAGAGCTCACTGTAAGTTTCATTTCTACCACTGATCAGATTGCGGATATCCTAACCAAACCCCTCTCTAAACGGCAATTCCTTCTATTAAGGGACAAGCTGACTCTGCAATCAGCAGCTCAGCTTGAGGGAGGATGATAAGGATACACCAGCTGCCATGTTTATCTCTAACATGTGCTTGTCTCTGCCTCTAGTCTGTACAGTAGTATAGTTAAAGATATCTTATTGTTAAGCTTATCAGCTCGAGTCCTTGTTGTTATAGAAGTGGCGTCCTTGTAAATGTAGAAGTCTCCACTTGATACAAGTCTCTGTAAATATAATTTCCAGCTCTGTAAAGTATAAATACAGATGCTTAATGAATGAAATATATACTGGAGCTTATGCAATTCTTCAATTATATCTTTAAATTATTCTAAAATATCTAATGAGTCCATCTATCAAAATGTAAAATCGTCTAGTCAGTGGAAACTAATGCAATTTTTTAATATCAAATTACCTCTTTCTTTTCCAAAACTCTTCACACAAAAATCAATTTATAATATTATAAGCAATTCAAAATCATACTTATGACATGTTCAGTAAACACATAAAAAATGGACAGACCACATGGTTGTTGCGTGTCTTTAAATATTTGGAGGGGTAGTAAATTTGATTTTTAAATTCTATATATAGGTCTTGTGCAATTTACGTGCACAATTTTCCCTACATGTGCAACACGTTGTAATAAAAAGACCTATTGCTGATTTGGTTACAAATTGTAGAGGCAATTAAACGCATAAGAATAAATTCTTAGTTTCATTTGCCGTTTTTTATATCCAAAAGTGTTTTTTTTTTTTTTTTTGAAAAGTATTTTTAAAAATTTTTCTATATGTAGTTGCACTTTAAAAAATTGATCAATGAAATTTATTTTCCGATTTAAAAAAAGTTAAGTTTTAGAGGACAGAAAGTGTTTTTTTGATTTAAAAGAGCCAAAAACGCTTCTTATAAAGGACTAAAAAACTAAAATGATACAATACTCCATTATTCTTATATATAAAAATATTAATCTATTAATAAAACAATATATAATCTATAATATTATTAAATAATAATAAATTACTAATATATTTATATAGGAAATAAAACATTCAATATATTAATATACAATATATAGAAATATATTTATTTAATATATTAGTGCATATAATGCTTTAATTTAGATAGTGTTGCTAGAAAATACACTATAATACACAAAATGTTAGGTTATACAACAATCACACATTTAAATCATATAAATTGTATATATTATAAAAATAAGTTAATAAAGAGAAAAAAAAATTATTTGGACAATTGGGACTCACGGCTGTGAAATCTCCATGTGGGATTCACAGCTGTGGTCCTCCAGTTTCTAACAATTGGGTCATTTGAACAAAAATAGCTGCAACAAGAGATATGTCCAACGGTTTTCTTTCATTAACACAGAAAAAATTTCTTTATTAAGTTCCAGTCTACATAGCTGGCTTTGAGCAAAGATTTTTTTTTTTTTTTTTTTTTTTTGAATGTAAGATACGCTAATGAACAAAAATATATTAGGAGATGAATGAGTCAACGGTTTGGAAGTACTTGAGCAATAACAGTGGGTGAGATAAAACGCAGTTGTTGGAACAATTACATCTTCAATTTTGATTGCTGTAAGCGACATGATCGAAGTTCTTTCGATCGAGATGGATATACTGAATAAACTAATAATGTTAGGTTTAATTATAAATTTTATCATTATTCTATTATGATTTAACAATTTCAGATCTTTAATGTCAAATTACATAATTTGAACCTCGAATTATTGATTTTTGGATAAAATTGATCTAATTTATCTAATTACTGTTATATATAATGGTCAACTGGATTAAATAATTACTTGAAATGTCAAAACGATGTCGTTTTGATATTCCACTGTTAATTATGTTTTTTTTTTTAAAACAATACTCTAAAAATATTTTTAACTCCTTAATCTTGAACTTTTTTTTCTTATAAAATATTTATATAAAAAAAATTTTATAAATATTTTTAACCCCTAATTTGAACTTGTTTTAAATTTTTTTTATAAAATATTATAAACATTTTATAATTTTTTTTTATAATTTATAAAACTAGGGGATCAGCCCTTAATTATACTCATTTTAATTTATAAAATATTTTAATTTATATTATAAAAATTTATAGAAAAAACATAATTAACAATACACAATTTCTAATTTATATTATAAACATTTATTAAAAAATAATAATTAACAATGTACAATTTCAGGCATTTATAAAAATATTTTATAAATTAAAATGAGCATAATTAAGGATTGACCTTCCTAATTTTATAAATTATATATAAAAAAATATAATATTTCAAAAAAAAGTTTTAAAAAAGTTCAAAATTATTGGAGTTATAATATATATATATATAATGTTTTATTATAATTTTTTTAAAAAAAATTTCAAGATTAGGGATTAAAAATATTTTATAAAAATATAATTAATAACGGAATGTTAAAACGACGTCATTTTAGCATTCCAAGTAACAATCAACGGTTGACTGATACATGTAACGGCAATTAGAAAAATTGAATCAATTTTGCTCAAAAAATAAATAATTTGAGGTTCAAATTACATAATTTAGTATTAAGTGTCAAAGGATTATCTCCACTCAAAATGTTAAGCTGATCGCTAAGTTAACAAGGTTATGATATTATATCAAATGACTATTTCAATCTAAAAATTTAAGCTATTAGATGAGATTTCATGATAATGATTTATATTATTTTTTAACATGAAGTGCTTTAAATTATAAAATCGTAATAGAATGAAAATAAAATGTATCTTTAAACTAATAATTTTATTTTTCAGATATAATAATCATATATAGCCAAACAAGTAATTTTCTATCAATTCGCTGCTTCTACAGAAACATCTTTCACCTTTAATTAAGATGTCTTCAAAATGGGCAGACAAGACTGAAGGATACGTGGAGAGTGAGATAGGGGGAAAAAACAAGACTTAAATAAATAACATGTCTCGCAGATTACAAGGATGCACATGGGAAGTGCTAGTCACAAGGTTTGACTTAAATAGGAAATAACAAAGAAGAGAAAGAAAAAAAATAAAAAGCCAATCAATCATGCATGAAAATGTTGGCTAGCTCTCCTTGATGGGGAAAATTTTTTTAAAAAAGAGGAGACAAGCTATAGCACATTTTCAGACGTCTGAAACACTGTGATTAACAACCGTGAATCCTCCATCAACGGCCAAGTTATGTCCACTTATGTAAGCTGATTCATCGGATGCGAGAAATAAAGCAGCCTCGGCTACATGCCTAGCCTTCAATACAATACCCTTCAAGTTGGCCAAGGCAGAACTATGAGCTTCAACTTCAGTAGGTTGCAAATTATAAGCTTCACAAGCAAGTGGGGTCGCAACTCCATACGGAGAAATGCAATTCACTCTAATCCCATAAGCCCCTAGCTCACTACAAGCCGTTCTGACTAGACCAACCAGAGCGTGTTTCGAGATGGTATAAGCATGTGGTCCTATCCCAGCAAGCGAAGATGTAACACTGGTGGTGCATATAATAGATCCGCGAGTATTTGTAGACACCATGGCTCGGGCAGCATGCTTTATTGTTGCTGCAGCACCACGTACATTTG